GTCCCCTGAGCCTCAGCCAAAACAGCTGTTAGTGTGCGCTACCTACAGGCATGCAGTATCTCTCTCTCTTTATTTCTCTCCTCTTCCCCATTTTACTGCAGAAGGTTTATCTGTGCGATAAAATAATCATATAATGATCATTCTTACTATGCCAGAATACCTTACATTGCCCATATATCTTAGTTTAGTTTATCTTAGCTTAGTCTGAACCAAAAGACTTCTGTCTCTATCTGTTTTTTCCCCCCTCTAGTCTCCTTTAACTCTCATTTGGTGTGTGTACAGTGTGTTCATGTGAAGTTAGCATCCAGTACTCCCATAAATGGACAACTTGCTGTAGGTTGTCCTACAGTAACATGCAAATGGAGGAGCATTTCAGGGTTAGCAGTTAAATTCCCACTGTGTCAGTTAACTCCTACATACTCACAGTCTCTCCCAATATGGATACTTTAGTGACGTGGTTGAGTGCAATTAATAGCTCTCTCTCTCTCTGTCTCTCTCTCTCTCACTCCTGCCTGAAGCCCCATAGTTTTAACATTTAAAAAGGACATAGCGTAGATTAAATCTCATTTATAGAAATATTAAATGCTTGTGGGTTTAAAAAAAATCATATTGCAATGAGTAAAAACTTTTTTTGTTGTTGTATTGCAATGGTTAGCTGCTGGGGCTAATTGGCAGCAAGGCTAACTGACCAGCTCTTCTATCCAGCTTTTTTAAAATACATTCATGGAGTACAGGCATGAGCAGACAGGTGTAACTGAACATGTTCCTATCTACAGTTTTCATGCTGCTTTGCTGTGTCTACCAATACAGCAGCAAAAAGTCAGGGAGGAAGAGGACTGCTAGCTAGCAAACATGGATACAAACAATACAAAAAAGTGGCTGTTTTTCAGGAAGGAAATTCATTCAACACGGTTGTCAGGCCTCAATGATACACAGATGCATTTTGTGAGAAGCACCAAACGTAAAAACACAACTTTGTTTCCAAGAAAACTCTGCGGTGCCTTTAAGTTAAGGTGACCATTAGCAGAGACAGTGGAAGAGGCTTTGTTGCAATCATTTCTGTTGTAAAGGACTGGTGAATCACATGTAGTAAGTTAGTCTGGCAGACCCTTGACAGAATTTGAAGAGAGGCAATCCTACTGTCAGAATAAAAGCCTCAAATTTGTCAGAATGTGGAGACAATTGTATTTTCAGCCTAGAATTTTTAGTCTGGCTGACTACATGTTGATTGGTGAAGACAGCTGATGCCAAAATACTGAAATCCTGCAGCTTGTGAAAACTTTCTTTTCACAAGCTCACAGTCATCTTTTATATATAGCCTATTCTGTATCTTCTCAATGATATTTGACATTATTTTGTATTATATAATTGGGTATCGTTTTGCAGTAGTCAGAACATATTTCACTATCACATCTATCTTGTGTGTCATCCTGTCTCCTAAGGTAGTTGATACTTTGAATAGACCAAATTGCTCTAGTAAAAGCGTAGGAGTGGCTCAAGAGTTCTCCAAAATACCAACCACTGTAGCAGATGGGCAAAATATTTTCTTCCATTGATGCAAAAGCTAGAAAGACCAGGCTTTGTGCCGGTGTTGCTTTCACATTCCAGATTACTGGGATACCTCTCTTCACCTGGACACCTGCACAGCTGTGACCTCCTCTCAGCTCCAGACAACAGTGTGTTTCTATGGAAACCAGCAACAGTCTCTGTATCGTGAAAGTGTCGCTTTGTAAACTAAACGCTAAATCATAACGCACAGTTTCTTTTTAGGGTAGGGTACTCTTTCACTTTTTAAACCAAAGGTTTTTATAAAAAATTTAAAAAAAAAAAAATGGAAAATTAAAGACATTAGCCTCAGCTGTACCTCTTCAGTGCTAATTAGCAAATGTTAGCATTCCAAAATAAACTAGGGAGCATGGTGAACATCATACCTGCTAAATGTTAGTTTGTATGTTAGCATTGTCATTTTCAGCATGTTATCATGATAACTTTAGCATTTAGCTTAAAGCAGTGGTGTGCCTAGGCTCACAGGGCTGCTAGCATGGTAACTATTGACAATAATTTATTTACATAGCTAGCTGATAAAGGGTTATCTTATAAAAGTAAGTTGTGTTCCAACATGTTTGATTTAGCTATGTAGCAGGTCGTGTTACCGTTAAGGACAATTTTTTTTTTTTTGTTCTTTCTTAACGCCATAAAGGTCACTTTCTAAAACCTAAAACTGTATGTGACTTGTGACTGTTTCAGCCTTGAAACCGCCAGCTGTAACAAGTCGCCATTGTTCCTTTATTTGCCAGCATCACAGCTGGCAAGCACATAACTTGTGCCAAGCCAGTTTTTACTTGTTTATCCTCACATTAATTCCCTTTACTCAACAACCAAAACAGTCACTGCACGCACAAGATCCGAGAGAAGGAGTTGTTTTTAACTGGCATGTGAGTGAGTAATTTGGAGGCTCTTTCAAGTCCCCTCTGCTAAAATCAGAGGTTAAATAGGAGCATTCCTCGCATAGCTCCATAGCCATAATGTGGAGATTAATGTGTTTGTCTAAAAGTTGTTAGGGGATAGTTGCTCAGAGCATCACAGAAACAAATCTAACCAAAAAGCTGCAGTCTTCTCTTCTCTCAAAATGCTAAGCCAGCGTTTGGAACATTTCACCAAAGCCAAAAATAGATACACTGCTAGCTCATACTTATACTTCAGCCCTAGTCCAAGACTTTTGCTTGATCTACTCTGTCCCTCATTTGGCTGTTAAGGGCCCATTGTTTTGCTGCTTTTAACTCAAGCCTTCGTGGGAAGATAGAGGCATTATAAGGTGGTGTAATCCCAGTGGCTGTCAGGATAATATCAGCTTGGCTTTAAGGCTTTTTAAGAGGCTGGCACTTAGACACTGGGTTCTGTGCCAGGGTCTGGCAGTCTCGACAGGTAGTAATTTGACTGGTAAATGTGTCATTATAGCCATTGTAGAAGGATGGGGCAGACAGGGAAGAGAAAGAAGGGGAGGAGACTAAAAAAAGAGACAGACAGAGAAGAAGGGAGGTGGACTGGCAGAGATAAATGGTAGAATAAAATGGACAGATGCAGGGAAGGAAGGAAGAAGACATTTTATAGAAGACAGGCTGAACTTGTAAAAACTCTGAAAATGTCACAAACTTGTGACTTCAGGTTACTCAGCTTCATGGAATGCTGTCTTTCTCTTGTTCTGCCTGTGTTAGCTTTTGCAAAGTGTGGGTGGTCCCATCAGTGATGTACACAACAATTACATTTCTACGTCGTACTGAAGGGCTTTTCGACTGCTGTTCTACGTGATGTTGCCCCATGTGGAGACAAGACAATGGGACTATGCTGCAGTCAGTCCTGCACTTAATGAACAACTCTTTTCATACATAATAAATCAGTTTAAAAACATAATTATTTCAGGGTTATTATTCAAGTAAAATCTTGTGTATATGATCCACTTTATGATCACCTCGTTGACAAACGTGCTTTTATTTTAATTTACCTTGTGAAGACTTTCTAGGAGTAAATCATCTTTTAAACACATCTTTGAAATGATCTATAACTAATTTTTGTACAGAATTGAACACTAAATGAAAACGCAGTCCTTTCAGCTGCATAAATCATGCATTATTTGCAACAATAACTCCAAATTTATATGCTGCCATGCATGCATTACTCTCCCTTGGCGTTGCTGGTTCTCGGAAGTATGTGATTAGATTGGTCATGTTTGGAGGCCTTGTCGGTTTTAGTTATTGCTCTCATTTTATCTTAATTACGGTTGTATGAATAGCCCGCCCAAATTTCAGAAATTACACTAAGCGTGCATCGAAAATATATCTCTCTCTCTTTTACAGTATAATAGCAGGGGGAGGCAAGGCTGTGTTTACTGTACAAGCACACGGGGGATGGGGTGGGTGGGGTGCAGATGCAGTGGGGAGGGTGAGGGTTAAAAGGATCCCTTGGTTTCTTTTAGCACTTCTCTCCTGTGTGTGTTTCCTGCCCATGTAGACATCTGTATGTGCTCAGTAGTATGTTTATTAGTGTGAATGCATGCACACAAATGCTGTAATGTTGCACTTTCATGCATGTGTGCAATGCATACTTGTATACAGATGTCTATGCATAAAGAGGCCCTCCTTCATCCCCTCCTGCAGATGGGGGGAAAAGCAGAAAACAAGCGTTTGACACACAGGAAGCTGGGCTCAAGAGTCGAGTCATGTCCTAGCACAGAGTTTTGCCAAGCTCTGACATGTCAGTAAACAACACAGGAAAAGTTAGTGGTAGAGATAGGGAGAGAAAGAGAGACAGGACGGAGGAGGGAGGGAGTTACGGGGTAAGACTGGGGGAAAGAAGGAAGGAGGTCACTGAGGGATGGAGGGAGGGACGACTAGCAGGGAGGGGAAGGAACAGGCATTTGCCTTTTCTGTCAGCTGAGGCTGGACTGTGGGAGACTATTACTAGTTGCATTGTGTCTCTGTGTGGAGAAGTCATTGTGAGAAGCTGGTATGGTGTGAAGGAAAAGACATTGTTTGACTCAAGGTATGACAGTCACAGTTACTTCTTTGTTTCTCCAGATTTGTCCCACAGCACTTTAAAGCATCTTGTTTTCTGCCTCACTTGTTGCTTTCCTACTTCTGTTCTATCACAATAAAGTATATATAGTATTGATTTATGACTGTATTCAGTGCAGTGCTTTTATTCTGCAAGCTGTCACACACCTTTGTCTTTTACCCTCCACTGCTCAGCTTGTGTCTGTTTGCTCAGCTTCAGTGTACAGTAGATGTTGCTGGTGGTTTAGCGGGGATCGTAGAGGTATGATGGGAGGCTCAGCAGCTCCTGGGTGGTCTCTGTCCTCAAAGCACAGCCAGTCACGTACCCTAGCGGGGTATTTTTAGTGAGACTTGCTTGTAACTGATTGAGTTAACATCCTGTCTTGGCTTCTCCTTTCTCGTTCTCTTTTTGTCTCTGCTCTTCTTTCTTTCATCTGTTTTCCAACAAAGTTTATGGGCATAGATTCAAGCCAGGCTGTTGTCACCTAACTGAGGACTGTGCTGGTGGTTAAAGGTGGTAACAGTTAAGTTAAATATTTTGTTTAATATGCCAGCAGACACTACAACTTCTATTCTTGTCCCGTACAGAAATTAAAAAAGGAATGAAAACATGCCAAAAATTACCTCCTGTTTTTTTGGGGGTTTTTTTGTTCTTGATGAATGATCACTGTTAGTGCTAATCATTGTGACTTCAGAATAAAAGTCACACTGTGTTTCATCAACTTTTAATCTGAAGGATGTTCTGTTTGCATTAAAGGTAAACCTTAATGCGGCTAGCATATGGTGTAAAGACAGCAAACAGTAAACGGTGAAGTAAACAAGTAAAATTAATGAGATGAAAGACAAATGACAATCTTGGATTGCATGCATGCCTCATTTCCTGTGAATCACCTGTGCACGTGAAGGCACTTTTAACCCAGTGCAGGAAATTTGGTATTTCAATAACCAGATATCAGAAAACTTACAATTTATTTGACTGGTGAACCAGCATTTCTGCCTTCTCAAGACTTTGTGCTTTCCTGAAATTGAGTAAATTAACAAGTCTGTGTTCAATGATGTCATCCCACAGGGCACAATCATGGAGGAAATGGACTTTGAGCGTCGCCGGGAGCTGCGGAGGCAGAAACGGGAGGAGATGCGCCTGGAGGCTGAACGGTAAGACCCATTTGGTTACTTTTCATTCATGTGCAGATTAGCACTCCACGATTTTCCCACTAATTCTCTTGCAAAGCAGAAAGTGTTTAAAAAGTCAGTCCTCCACAAAAGCTTAATTTGTAGTTGGAACCACAGAGGCCCTGCCGTCCAGAGGGGACGACGTTGCTGTCATTTAAGATCTCACTACTGGAGGTTGTGTGAACCTGAGGGAGCAGTCTGTGTTGTGTAATGTAGCTCTGGTTGTCAATGCACAGCGCACCGCCTCTGATGTCCATGCCAAGTTGGAACAAGAGGGAGCCAGCTTTAATAGCTTAGACCCACCTCTAGGTCTTTAAAGGCATCGCTCAGCAAATATTGGCTTCCCCAGCCCAGGCTAGAAGAAAAAAAGTTTGATAAGAAATCTGATAAGCAATGAGATGACCTTTAAGTGGGAATGTTCAATCATGCCCTCCCTCCCTCTTTCCAATTTTCTCTTCCAGATACTGTGGCCTTGTGATCCCCCTTTGATTCCGTGGAAGAAATTGATTAAACTTAAGTTCATTTCAGTAAATTGATTGAGTGGTAACATGCCAAGTGCAGTAATCAAAAATAGTAAAAAGGGGGGTTTATTGTGGGAGGTTGATACATAGCTTGCCAAGGAGGCATTTTATAGGGCCTTTTCACAAAAGTCTCTCCATCTGTGCTGTAGCCAGTGCAATTAAGGATGAGGTTGATGTGGATGCAGATACTAGCCAAGGTCACTTACCTTTTTGATGTATCTGTGAGAAGTGCTTTATTAGAGCCAGTTACTCCATCACTGATGAAAAACAAGCCGACATAGGTCTGACCACTGCTGAATACATAGATGTTTCTCTCTGATAATTCTTTTTTATGACACAAAGAATACGTGAGTCGCATTTACCTTACTGATGAACGTGGCCCTTTGCTCAAGGTAAAACAGCATCTCTTGCATGAAGGAAAATGTCTACAATAATGGACATTCACTGAACAATAACATTCAGGGTTAAGTTTTTTTCCACACATTGAAAATAAAGTGGCTGTCAGCTTGTGTGTGCTGTATGGATGATGTTTATTACACATCTATTTCCAGAATGTTATCTTTTTACTCACAAACTGAACTTTAGCTAAGAATGATAGGTAGAATGAGAGATTGTGAATAGAGTCCGACCAAAACATCTATATGTGTGTATGTTTATATAAATATATACATCATTATCTTTCATTTGGAGTAGTTTCATGGGACATCCAACAATCCAATATTCACTCTCCCTTTAGTACTGTTTTGGTCCCCACCAACTCTAGAGAAAATATCTGGCTCTTTAGCTTGTAAAAGCTATGCGATGTCCTCCAGCTAGTCGCTAACTTCGTCTGCCTGTTGTTTGGTACCAAGCAGGAAGAGTGCAGTTGGTTTATCAGAGGTTTTTAGCTGAAAACAGCCCCTGGTGTGGCTGGAAACGAGGTTGGTGAAAGCAGCGTTTGCGAGTCAACAAACCAAAACAGCGAGCTAAAAAAAAATGCTGCGTAGAGCTGAGGGTTTCAGCAGAACAGGTTGAAATTCTCTGTTGGTCTGTCACTAAGAGCAACACCTTTCACAAATTAGTGAACCAAATTTAAGCATTTCTTTTAGAAAGTGTTTATGGTTTATTTTTATAATAACAAACTAATATCAGCTGATATATCCTTAGAGTATAGAGTATGGGTTAGACCAATACTTCCTGGAAGTTTGGTAAACAAAATATGAACGACCTACTTATACACATAACCAATTGCTACATCCATAGCTAATCATTTAAAGGCAAGATCCTGTACATTTTCACTTTCTGTAACAGTTACACAATATTCTCCTACTTGGCATCCTTTAGGTTTTACCTCTTTTTGACTTTTATGCCTCATTTCCCCAGATGCACTCTAAATAGCTTGATTGAAGTGAAGGTTAATGCCGTTGTTACATTTCATGGCATACAAACCCCATAAACCCCCCACGGCTAGAATTATTTATGCAGTTTTGGAGTGTTTACGTTACACAGAGAAGATGGAATTTGGCAGAAAAAAGTAGACTAAGAGGACTGACGGAGACAAGAGAGGAAGACTGACTGACTGAATAAAAGAGAAATGAAGTAAAAGAGAGTGAAAAAGAGTAAGAGCTGTAATCCTCTTCCACATTTACGTTTTCAGCTCGGCGGGAGTTTGTCCATGACTGTTTATTTGGTTCCAAGCAGCAATAATGTCAGCTGGCAGGCGACGCGCCGCTCCTGTTATTGATAAAAGATTACATCTCTACATTGTTTCCATTTCTGCCAATATATTGAAACAATCAATATTTACATGCCCCTCTTGGTCAGACTAGTCGAAACCACATGTTGTCTCATTGGCCTGCTTCCATTCAACCATCACTGAGCACACTGTGAGAAGATGGAGAGCGCAGGGAGAGAGTGGGGCCATATAATAACGGCTGTAGGAATGCCAAATTCCTGGCTATTATAAGTGTTTACTGGCCAGGTCTCCATGAGCTGTTTCCTACATGCTGGGACACTGAGGTTGTCTGTGTGAAAGCGTGTCTGTGTGAGAGAGTGAGAGCGTGTGTGCTTGTGTGTGTGTGCGTGTGTGTGTGTGTGTTGTAGTCTGTGCAGTTGTGCTCATGCCTGTCTGTGCTATGCATGTGCATAGGGGTTAGGATGAGTGCATGCATGCAGTTAAGCATGTGGGTGTTCGCTTTAGTGTTCATGTGTGTCTGGATCAGCATCAGGTGATGAAGGCTTGACAAGCTCCATTAAAGTAAGTGTGTGTGTGTGTGTGTGTGTGTGTGTGTGTGTGTGTGTGTGTGTGTGTGTGTGTGTGTGTGTGTGTGTGTGTGTGTGTGTGTGTGTGTGTTTAGAGTCGAATATTCACTGCTCTGTCTTACATCAGCCTCAGTTATAGTTGTAAGAAAATTATTATTGACATAGAGGTGCACAGTGGGCCTCAATACCCTTCTAGTTTACTCGGTAAAGAAACACACAGACACACACGCACACAATTTTCTGCTCTGCTAAGTTTTCTCACACTTGTGTTCTTCAATTCCCCTATCCATGCTGTTGATCAATGCTATAGTCCATTTCTGTTCACTTGAACACAGACACAGGAATGTCTCGACTGCTTTTTTTTTTTCATCCTTTTTTTCCGAAGAGAGCACAAGGATGTGGAATTTTCCCAGTCAATTCAGTGACCAAAGGCTATTTGCTACAGTTAAAGATAGTGTTTTGTAACAGTGATAGTACGCATAGCCTGCTGAATGCAGCTGGAGCTGAGCAGTTCATTGTCCCATACTTTACTGTATTCTGTACAAGCACTGTGGTGATCATTAGATGAGAACTTTCATACCACTTTGATTCAACTTGTTGTTTTTACACTTTTTGTACTGGTAAACAAACAAGACAGGCTAGCTTTTCCCCTCTGTTCACAGTCTTTGTGCTGAGCTAAGCTAACTGACTGACTGTAGCTTCATGTTTATTATGCAGAAATGAGAGCGGCATCAGCCTTCTCATCTACCACTCTGCAAGAAAGCGAATAAGCATATTTCCCAAAATTTTGAATTATTCCTTAATATTAAGGCTTTGATTCGCATTTCTTCTTTGATGTCTCTTTTAGGAAGTATTTATTTTTGATTTCTGCCTGTTTTCTTCTGTCATATACCATCTTCTCTCATTCTTTATGCATCCCATCTTCCCTCTCCTCCTCCTCCTCCCCTGGGGATCACTGTCTTTCTTCTTCAACGCTCCTCTGCCTCGTCCTTTTCTTAATGTTCTCCCACTATTTTCAACCCTTCCTTCTTCTAACCCTGCTCCTGTTTTTTCTCCTCTTACTTTCCTTTCCTTTTCTATTTTTACCTTTTCCTTCCTGTAACCTTTTCCCTGCTCCTTCCGTTTTGATCTTCTTCTTCCACTTACTCTTCATCCACTCATTCTCCACATCCCTCTCCTCTTTTTCCTCACTGTCTGTCTCCTGTCTTCCCAAAATGTCCTTCTCAGTTTCATCTCCTCTCCCCCTCTCTCTCTCTCTCTCACACACACACACACACACCCACACCCACACACACACACACACCCACACCATACTCCTCTTCCTCCTCTTTCTCTTCATCATTCCCTACATCTCTGCTGGCCCCTCCGCCTGAGAGACCAGGAAGGGCTGAGGAAATAACACCCATCCTCCGTGAATGAGCCATGCTAAACAATCCCCACCCTGGATGAATGGACTGTTCCAAACATGACCTGGTCCTGCATCGTAAACCTCTTGGTTCTGACAGGAAGATAGAGATATGGATAGAGAGAGATAGAGAAAAGGGAGGGAGAGGTTGATCCAGGTATGCCAACCTCACACTTAGCACATCAGCTTGGATATGATTCCAGCTATTGTTGAAAGCCTGATTTTACTCATACAGTTGTGAATTTGAGATTTATTTTTAATATGCATGCCATACTGCCCCATTCATCTGTGAGTGAGAATACATGCAGTCTAGGGGAATTCTGTCACGGTTAACATTGTGCATTCTTGGAGCCAGCCCAGCAGAGAGCAGGGTGGGGAGGAGAGACAGACGGGGTACGATGTGGTTCTTTGGGCCGGCAGTAGGAAGGGAAATAGTCCAGAGAGGCCAGCGTGGGAATGGGTCAGCATTTCTGACAGCGCAGGCCCCCACCCTCTTTCCCTCTCCCTTCATCCCTTCCTTCTCTGGTCTCCCCTCTCCTCTGTTCACAGCAGTTTTTCCTCTCTCTCTCTTTCCATCTTCCCTCTTTTTTACTTTTTCTCCCTCCGTTCCCTCTCTTCCCTCGCTTACTGAGGAGGGGTGAAGAAGTCTTTTCTCATGGGCTTTTCCCAAATTGTTTTCACTGACATTTCTGAGATATTTTGCCGTAAAGAAAATATTTGGACATATTTCTTCCTAATAGGCTCACTGATGGCGATGTTTTGTGTGCCTGTGCTATCCACGCAGACATTTGCTTTGTGAATGAAGAATCCTGCTTAAATCAGCTTTTCTGTGCTATGCACCATGTGAGACATTCAAGAAAATGATGAATTTATGCGCATATGTAACAAAACTTTTAATTTCCTTTTCAGCTGCGTCAGCTGCCACATGTAAAACTAAGTGTGTAGGGTCCATATTAGCTGTCAGTCAGCAGTGTGAAGTTTACTGTATTTGGCCACCCACGAAAAGAGCATCTGCTGCATGCTATATACAGGCAGACGCATACCTGCAGTTTGTAACTGTGGCTACACATCATTCTGTACAGGAAAACATGTCGTCTGTGATAAAATCTGCAGATTACTCCTTTTTCCATTATCGTGCACGCCCTTTCCTTTCCCGTCTTTCATTTCCCACTTCTCCTCTTTATTCTCACTCTCCATTTCATTTGCTCTTTCTGTTCCTCTCCTTTTTTCCTTCACCCATCCTCCCCCCGTCCACCTCTCCCCATATTTCTGTGTCAGTATGCTGATAGAGTTTGGGGCCTAGGTAAGGAGAGGGATATTAAATCAGGGCTTTGGTTGTGTATGCGTCGCTAGCCAAGACTGTGATTGACAGGAATGCTAATTCAGCTTTTAGGAGTTTGTTCTTCTCTCCTACTGAGGAATCTTTAACCCTGAGATTGTCATCGTCACCACCACCAAGGACTCTTTTGTTCCATTTTTAGCTGTTGTCGTTTTCTCTTTCTCATGACATTTGGTGCTGTTTCTGGGACAGCGCAGTCCTTTGGGATTTAAGGCAGTTCTTTCGCAACTTTTTTTTTTTTTTTTTTTTTTTGCTTGCAGAAACAACATATCACTCTGACATTTTAAATAAGGGTTAATGTTCTTTCTACTGCAGGGGAGCTCAATTGAAGGTGATGGAATATGAATAAAACTGAAAACAAAGATTTATGAAGAAAACTATTTATTTAACACGAGACTATCTCACTTTCTGAAAGAAGAAATAAAACATTCTTGCTCTTACTAATAAAAAGTTGAATAAGCAGTAAAACACACACTTGCCCAGTTCAGTAACACACAGGGGGTTTTAGGCTACATTTTTGATTGGTTTAACTGGCTCACATTAGCTAATGTTAGCAAACTGTAGATACTGTAGGTAGTTTCAGATATATAATGCTAAATGTCGTGCTACATTTTAGCATATATATCACCATGGTAACAGCGGCTGGCATTTAGTAAACGTCATACATGCTAGCTTTAAAGCTGAAAAGAGTCTGACTTCCATCTGGATCTGACCAGTTTTGAATGCTCAGAGATTCAGAATTAACTGAGCTAAGCACATACTCATGCACATGTGTAAAGCATTGCCTGACGTCACTGATGTCATCGTCCCATAGGTCCAGCTTGGGCGTTAACAGATTCATCTGTTCTGTTATGACAACATTCCTCATCTGAGAGAAAGAGGGAAATGGAGGGGAACGGCGTAGGGGAAGTAAAGGAAGAAGAGAACTGTTGTTCACAAGCTGTAAAACCTCACATAAACCCAAGCTGCTTTAGCTCGGCTAACCACACATGTTGCAATTAACATGCAATAGCATGCTTCACTGCCTGACCTCAAAGGCTGCGCTGTGATGTTAGGTAGCTAGGCATGTGGGTAGCAGTGGGAGTGTAAAGGTCAGTCAGGGCAACACAGATCAAGCATGGAGCTGAGTTCATAGATGTCAGGTGGCCAGATACACAGCAGTTCACAAACTGATTTGATACTTCAGAAGAGAAGGAAAACTGTCTCAGGTGGCACCGACATCCTAACCATCCAAACCAACAGTTTATGATGTTTTTATGTGTAGTTCAGTATCAAATACACTTAACTTTTTTGGGTGTTGCCTCTTTCCCTCAACCTGTCTCCTTCTACTTCAGCTAGATTTCCTGCCTTTTCCAGAATGACTTTGGACCAGCCCCAGAGAAAGGCCTGAACATGCTGTGTTTAATCAAATTTAAGCACATAAATATACAGTAGCTCGCTAGCCAACTAAATTGGTAACAATGGAGTTGTGTTGACTATTGCACGCAGCCACACCCTCTACATAATCCACCGCATTTATTAGAGACATGCATAATCCACTGCATGACTGCTTTGAATTTTGCTCTGTTAAGGCAAGATGATGAGTGGAGAAAGAAGAAATATCTAATGCAAAAAAACAGATGTTAACCCATGATTTTTTTTAGACCTGGCATGACCTTGCTTTATCTACTGTATGCTTGATCAGTCATGCATAGGAATAATACAAATGAACCACCAAAGGTGAACAGAAAATTCAAGAGGCACCACCAGAAGCTATGTTTAACATTATTGAAATATTTATGGGTGTGCTTTCCTACTAATTATTTACAAACATTCTTAGATTGTGAGAATTTTATTAAAACAAGAAGTAGCATTCAAGAAGTGGCATCTTTAAAACCAGGCTCCCTCCATGTCTTATAGTATAAAATTCTGCTGAATATTTTTGTCTCTTTAAGGAATAGTTCAACCTTTTGGAAAATATGTTTGTTGTTTTGTTTTTTGCTTTCTTGCTGAGACCTACATGAGAAGATTGATACCATTCGGTCTGTCCATTAAGTATACACCTACAGCCAGCAGCTGGTTAGCTTAGCTTAGCATAAGAAGTTAATAAAGGGAAACAGCTAGGCTGATGATTTCCAGTAGTAAATATTTGGGCTGTGTTACTGTGTTACATACTGTGTTAATTAGTTAGCTTCAGAGGTGTTGGTAGGTAGATTCTTCTCTTAGCTAGCTGTTTCCCCCTGGTTCCAGTCTTTGTGCTTAACCATGCTAACCCTTTGTAGCTTCATATTTCAAAGGTGAAACTAGTGTTGAAATGGGTGTCTCAGCAAAACTGAGCTCTACAGTTTTATGAAAAGGAGAAGCAGTATCTTTAAAATGAGCTTGCTCCACATACGTCAGCAGAAAATACTGCTAAGTAGTTTTGACACAAGAGATTGTTTAACTCCAGTTTAACACAATCACAAAAATGTGATTTCTAGATTTTATGTCATATTAAATTCCTTGTAGAAATATAAACTTTGTGGTTGTTTTGCAGCACACAAACACACTTATACACACACACCTTCCCAGTTTGATCTGTTTCAACACAAAGCAGACCAGTATAAACTGTGGGCCAGAAACAGTGTTTCTCTCCCTCTCTCTAATCCTCAGCCAAGCCGGGGCTCCAGACTGAGTTTTATCAGCTCGTGAAAACTGCTGCCATGATAAGAAGTATTACTTGTTGCACAGCTGACAGGTCAGCTTGATAGGAGAGAAGAAAAAACTCTGGACAAATCCAGCAGGTTTGGTCACTGTGGTGATTACAGTCCAATTTAAAGAATCGTTCACTTTGAAGTTTTTAACTGTGAAACTAAATGGAGGAAGGGAAGAAGCAGATGAAAAGTTGAAAGAAGAGGTTGAAAAAAAAAGAAAATGTCTCTCTTTGTCTCCTGACTCTCTCTCTCTCTTCTTTTGTCTCCCTCAGGTTGGCGAGGAATGATGATGATGAAGAAGAGGCGGCCCGCGAGAGGAGGCGCAGGGCACGGCAGGAGAGGCTGAGGAGCAGGGACAGCGAGGAGCCCAGCGGACAGCCAGACAGTTTGGTCATGACCAACAGCCACAGGTGACACACAGTAGCAACACAAGCTCTGTCTGTGATAAATATGTAGTCAGCAGCCAACTGCTTGGCTCCCAATTTTTTTTTATTACTGTCAAAGGGCCCTTACCTCATCAATTCTTGATAATGTTTGAAACAATGTGTCCTTAAATTCAGTAGACAGAAGCAGCTTTCTCATTTTTGGCTAACAACTGCTGATTTTTCCATCTAAAATGACAACAGTTTCTGTGTAATTTTATCAGCTGTTGGTTTCCGGTTTACTCATTCTAAAAGGAAAACCCTGCAAAAAGGGTCATGAATATGCATTTAATGGCTACACACGACAACGTGCTAAAAGACTAAATCAGACTATTATTTTGTTGGCTCATAACCCCGTCTAGCTGCTTATCTTACATACATAATCAAATTTTTTTTAAAAGTATGTAAGCACTTTTAATGTTAAGAGAATAAGAGAATAGGCTTTTACAACAAGGACTAGCTGATGTGATGGCAAATGTTATGCTATCATGGGTAAAGTTGGCTGGTAGCACTTGGTTACTACTTTATATAGTAAGCTACTTAGCCAGACATGCTAACAATTGCTAGAGCAGACAAACACTTACACTTGGAGAGGTAAAAGAAAAACACAAAACAGACTGCACTTAACTCTAGATGCTGAGTATCACTCTTACTGCAGTCCCATGAACATGGCATTAACGTGGAGAAATACAAAGCTTGACAGATCTGTGTCCAGTTATAATGTTGTGTTGAAGGTGTTGAATGATCAAACATTTTTTTTGCTTGGTGAAATGCATTTACAAATGAAAGAAGTGAACCCCATTCCCTACCAAGTCCCTGCTGTCATTATGACGACCAACATATGATCTCATGGCTATCCATCAGAGAAACTGCCATAGGAACAAAGGAGCTAAATATCCATCTCTATGCATTTTGAGACTATGAGATCAATCGTCTTGGCAACAGTGGAAGTGGTGGTGGGTTGCTCTGACATCTACCAACACAGACGATGCTTTGTGGTCATGAATGTTTCCCCTCTATGAGCTCAGAGATACATCCTGGGCCGCTCGAACAACAAGGGGATTGTGCAGGAGGATGCTGAGGCAGGATCTAGCGCTGACTAGCCATTGTTGATTGTGTAGATACAAGGATAATGTTTGCCAGACTTTTAGGTCAGAATTTGAGTTTGAGTCAGTCAGTTGAACAGTTTGTCCACTACATTTTGTTTATTTACATCAAAGTTGATAGGTAGCTGCCATCTGAGTGAGTGTATAGATACACACCTGGAATCCAAGAGAACTTCACAAGAATTTCAAGAAACCTTTCTGGGCATCTGCTTTTATCTTTTCAAAGCACCGTGCATATGCTCAATTATTCATATCTCTGCTATTTGCCTGTAAACAACTATGAAACAGTTAGAGGTTAGGGGCCTTGCTCAAGGGCATCTTAAGGGTAACAGGAGATAATATTATGCATCCACTTTAACAGCTGACGTCTGTTGCTCTGACCTCAACGCTTCCTCCTCATTACCACACAGTGAAATGTTTGTCTCCTCTCTCTCCTCCTAGTGTGACAGAGACAGTGTCTGTGAGCAGCTCTTATGGAGGCGTTGGAGACGAAGATGACCAAGCCCTGCTGGACCGCATGGCCAAACGCGAGGAGAGACGGCAGAGACGCATGAAAGAGGCGCTGGAGAGACAGAGGCAGCCGGACCCCACCGCGACAGAGGACAACGGCAGCGTCGCCACGGAGAAAAACAACGAGGAAGAGGAGAGGCCCTCCTCTTGGCGTAGGGGTCGTTACCGTGATAATGAGGAAGAAGAGGAGAAGACATTCACGTACAGCTCAAGGAGAGAGGAGACGGAGCGAGAGGAGCCGAGAGAGGAAGAGGAGGCTGCTCCTGACGGTGGAGAGGAAGCAGAGGAGGGTGTAGATGAGGAGGAGGAGGAGGAGGAGGAGCAGAAAGTGGAGGTGGAGGAGGACAAACCAAGAAGGTCTTACTTGAGAGAAGAGGTGAGTCATCTGTTCATTATTGTCCATTTACTTTAGCAGTTTGTTGTGTTTTTGTAGCTCACAGACCCTGCGAATGTGATGCTTGTTTTTGTAGGAATCAACTGAAGAGCCTAAAACTCAAAACAAGGTATGGTCATTGATTTATTGACTTTGTGATGCACATTGTTGAGCTGATCCCTGGTCTCTACTTCAAAGAACCGCTGTAATCCTTTTCCGTAGGAGCTTGCTGAAGAAGAAACACATTCAGTAGTCAGTGAGAGTTCAAATCAGGCCAAGTCAGCAAATTCAGAGGCTGAGGAGGATGCAGTAGAATCAGGGGAGGCTGAAGAGATACCTGAGGATGATAATGTAGATAATTCATCAGAGAACAAGCCTATGACACTCATAAATGAAGAGGACAATGAAGTATCTGAGATACTGCACTCAGAGGATTATGAGGTATCATTCATGTGGTAAGAATTTCAGTAGAGGTGTAATGCACAGCACAGAAAATCTCTCTGGGTAACTTCACTGTCTTGATGAGATATGTAAAAACTAACCCACAAAAAATTCTCTTAATAAGGCTATCTTGTTGAGTTCGTGATTTATGCCGGAGCCAGACGCTGAAATTACCCAGACACCTCGTGTCGTCACAGTGTGGTTTGCACCATTTGCAAACTGGTGGTAACTGAGCCAACGTTTTATGAGGTGTGGTTGTAGCAATGTGGTCTGATTTTTTAATAAGGTTAATGCTATGCTCCACAGAGTGGTCACAGTGTTTTATTTTTCTGCACGTCTTCCACCTCAGCTATGAGAGCAGCAACACTTCACATTAAACTGACTCCACTCCAAAAACTGACTATAGCAGAGAAACATAGTTTGATTTAATACGATCAGTATCTTTACTGCAAGGGGACATAATGGGGAGATCACTGAGCCATCATATCATGTGGACGCTTACAGTCAAATGTTTTAGACCATACTCGATATACATATATATTATTATAAACAAAAAGAAGTAAGCAGTGAACTGAGGATTGTTCTATTGCTTTGGAAATGCAAAATGTATAGTCAGTGGGCTGATGGCTGACTTGTTTTCATCAGTACACTTTTTTATATGTGCAGTTGGTCATTGTTTTTAAACTCCAAACAAGCATCTGAACAGTTTTAAATACTCAAGTGAGCACTTTCCACCTGAATTCTTGTGTAGTGAGTGTCCTCTTACATAAAGTAAGGACCCTTATGGACTAAATGTTTTCATTTGTACTCAGTGTGGGTGTGTCAGACCTCTTTTGACCAGAGCTGTTCACAGTTTCAGTATGCCCTTGATGGTGTAAACAACAGTGCTCAAAGACAATTCATGCTCCATAGCACTTTCTCTGTTAAGATAAAGACATTTCTTATCAGTTATTACCTCAGTAATAATAGTGAATATGTTTCTCAGTTTTTGAGCCAACGTGTTTTAATAAAAGCATGTGTGCTTAAAAGGTCCACCAAAATCAACCTATGCAATATTAAAGATGCATAGACAGCATCATCAGCAAGACATGCATATGATCTGTGCTACAGGTGCATAATGTATGTTTTTTTTTAAAAAAAAGTGTGACACGCATAATAATAATAATTTCTAAAACTTAAATTATGTTTTTGATGATGTTAACAGTGAGAAGTAGAAAATACACAGCTGGAGACACTCCCAGGTTGATCACATGTTAGATAATCCTCTGTCAGCAGTAATTCTTGAGTGGACACTGTTTGATGTGATGTTCTGTGTTGTTTTGTTTTGGGTTTGCTCTCTTTCTCATGTGACATCCCGTGATGTCACATACTCGATCCCGTCCATTCAGCCTACCCACCAATTGCATGTTTGCTCACTGTCCGGGCGGTTGTTTCTGTGCAGGTGGATGAGAGAGGCGGGGCCAGGGAGGAGAGGGAGGAGCAGAGGAAGCAGAACGGAGGGTTTCATGAGGAGGCGGCTCCCAAACAACACAGGAAACCTGAGAGGACCCTCAGGTACACAGACACAACAACACAAGCAAAGTCACTGCCTGGTTCTCACTCTCAGGCCAAACTTGACGATAGTCTTATGAACTATTCAAGGAACTCTGTTTTCCCCAAAGCCAAATTTCTATGATTCGTGTGACAATTTGCTGCCATTTAGTAAAGAAAATGTTTGGAAAATCAAAATAATGTCATTAGTCTTTGTAGTAGTGGACAAATATCCAAATTATGTCTTTCTCTCAAACAGAATCATTAGCACCAATATCAATGTTTTAGGCCAAAACAAATATCCAATATTTAGTCTCCTGCATTTTTCATTATTTTCCCAGTAGGCTGATATTAATTATACAGGGGTCCTTGAATTTCAAGACATCAAACATACCCACTAGGGCTGTAACCAGCGTTATTTTCATTATCAATTACTCTGCTGTTTACTTTGGCTTTTTTATTATTATTATTATTATTATTATATTGTTTAGCTTGAAAAATAATTGAAATGATTAATTGATAATCAAAATACCTGCCAATAATTTTGCTGTCAATCCATTCTTATCGTCTCAGCTCTAATACCTACCATATTTATTCTGAAATTTTGAAACTAATTTTAACAGTCACAAGTGACACACGGAAATCCCAATTATTCAATCACCCCAATACTGGCCGTAAAAAATAGTAGAGAATAGATAAATAGTGATATTGCTTTATAAAGCTGATTTCAGCAGTAAGCTGATATAGCAGTGCCACTCTACTCTCAACCAGTTGTGGAAAAACACTGCAGTAACCTAATATTCTTTACACAAAGGTCAGCTAAAAAGATCAAGTTACCTAACAAAGATCACGGTTACTTTCCAAAATAAGATGCCCAGAAGTGCAAAGGAAAGACATATTCAAGGGATTAAAAAAATCCCACTATGATTTCACATAATATCAAAACAAATGTATTACATTTTAAAGGATGCTAAATTTACTGAATTATACTACTGCAGACTGTATCTTATTTTAAAAATCATGTAGGAGTCTTCATATTTGTTTCAAGACTCCTCAGTCTTTGCATATGCTGAACTGGGGCAATGCAATCAGACAGGGACTTCTTGCAGCCTGCAATGTCAGACTGATATTACTGACTGACATTTATTGTTTGTCTCCCGGGTATTGGCTAAGGCATCTGCAAAATAACTGAATAGCGTGAATAGGATTTTCAAGCAAACAAGCTGTTTTTGTTCAGCATTCAGCCGTGGCAGAGTAGTGTGTGTTTTTGACTTGCATCACCTAAAGTAAATCCCCAGCTTGAAGCACCAAATGAGACTTCAGCTGAGCTGTAACCTTATCTTTGCAATGGTGATTGTTGATATTTGTATGGGGACACATGCATTGTCTGTGTGTGTTTGCTCATCCAAATCCTTCAAGTGCATCTTTAAATATTCAGTTTGTATCAAATGTCTGGTGTTAACCTGTATGTCAACCAGCTTCGTTTCCTGCTTGTTTTTGTTGTGATCTGCGTCTGTGCACTGACCTGTGGTTTTGTGCATCTGTCCCAGTCGCGGCAGTGTGCGTTCCCCCGAGGTGTCCGCGGGTGACGACCAGGACGACGCTGCCCGCCTAGAGGCAGAGCGCAAGCTGGAGGAGCTAAAGCGCCGCCGCGACGACGCAGAGAGTGAGGAGTTTGAGAGGATGAGGCAGAAGCAGCAGGAGGCCGAAGCCGAGCTGGAGGAGCTGAAGAGGAAGAGGGAGGAGAGAAGGAAGGTGCTGGAGGAGGAAGAGAGGCAGAAGAAGCAGGAAGAGGCAGAGAGGAAAGCCAAAGAGGAGGTAGGGAAAAGAGAGGCATGTTTTGATGATTTTTTTTTTTGTCATTTTTGAGTCATTTTATGGATACGGTTTGATCAGTGCTGCTCTTGAAATTTTTCTCATGTTTTGTTTAGGAATATCTAATACTGCAACGAGCTGCGAGTGTGCATATTTTCATTTTTCAACAGTTTAAGGATATATCTGTGAAAAAAGCATCCAAGCCTCTGTGTGTGTGTTTCCTTTGGCAGCAGTTGACTGGCATTTAAGAGCTATGACACATGATGTCAACTTCTGTAATGTGCAACTGACTGAAACATGACATAGCACTGGTTATCTGCCGTTAGCAGTTTGAGACATCTGCACCCTTACCACAATTCAACACTTCACTGTGCTGTCACTCAGAAAATGAAAGCTAACAAGCTAAGCTAACCAGCTTCCACCCAGACACTTGCTACTATAAGCACTGATTCCCACCAGACAGTACTTTTTATTGATGTTATTTCAACATCTGCTGAGTCATTGGCAGCTCCTACACACTCAGTGCTGTGGCCATCCTACATTAGAAAGAAGTAGGTCTGGCTAATGTTATCTGGCTCTCTTTCATAAGATGATAAGATTTAGCCGAACTGATCGCCCACAGGGGAAATTCAATTTGACACAGCAGCACAAGGGAATGTAGTAACATCAAAGAAAGACATTTCCATAAATACCTATACACCATAAATAAACAGAGAGATAAGATAAATCTAGAATAATAGATATAATAAAATAGATCTGTGTTGATGACAGTTAAAATGTGAGTGGTATATGGTTCTGATGCATCCAGGAGCTGTGGCGTTGTGGAGTCTCATGGCTGATGGCATGAATCAGCCTCCTTAGCGCTTTGAGGCATGTGGCTGGATGAGTCTGCAGAGCCACCTCGGCCTGGCAAAGAAAGGATGAGAGGGGTTGTCCATGATGGCCTTCAGCCTCCCTCTCATCCTCTTCTCTGTCACTGCCTCCACACTGTCCAGTTCAATCACCACCACAGAGCTGGCTTTCCTCACCAGCTTGTTGGCACCACAAGTCCCATTGCCACCTCCCCAGCACACCACAGCAAAGAAGCTAACACTAGCCCCTACAGACTGTTAGAACATCCCTAGCAACCTGGTGCGCACACATTCAGGGACTTTAATTCATGGGTTCAGATGTGGTGACGACAAATAACCAGACTGTCAAAACTCACGGCAACGAGAAGTCAAGAAGCTGGTTTCCTAGCATAAATGACTTGATTTATTTTGATCTTTTCTTCCAGTTATATGTTCAAATTATCTTCAAATTTCACAGCCCATATCCTCTCATTGTTTTTTTCACACCACCTTCATGTTGACTTAGCCTTTATACCTGTGTGTGTCGAAACTCATACATCACACTCAATCTAGTGCTGCAGTGACGTTATCTCTCCATACTTCACCGCTATCATGACTCAACCTATTTGCGTCCCCACTCATAGCTCACATATGTCAGTCCTTTTTTCCTCCCCTTATAACAACCTCATCCTCATGTATCTCAAACGTGATAACCTCCCCCAGCGTGTGCTCACATCTGTGCTCAACCACACAACGTCATTCTTTTTCCCTTTCAGCCGCTCACTCTGAGGCCCAGCTATTCTCACTATTACCCAGACTGGTCTTCTTTGTTGATCTTGGCTCTGAATGTGGCGGCCCGTCTCTCGCTATCTGCCCCTGTTCTTCTCCTCTTGTGTGATGTTAATGAGGCCTTTTGGTTTGTAATTAAAAGATGGCCCAGAGATACAGAGAGACTAATTAACCAAGACAAGGCTGCTGGAGAGGCATGATATACTGCCAAGCACCAGCCCTCCTCTTAATACCGTACAAATGGTTCATACATTAATTGTTTAAAAAAAAAAACTCTTGATAATCTGCATGTCTCAAGCTTTCCAAAATGGCTTTTTTTCCTCAGGCAGGCTATCACTGTAAATAAGAATTTGTTCAGAGTAATTGAATTTGTTTCTGACCTGCTTCATTGGATAAAGTAAGTAAATCAATTAGAAGAGTGGCACATATCTATTGTCTGGGTTGCCCGCATGTTGGTTTTCTGTTGGCTGGTGCAGTTTCACATAACCTATGATAATATAAGTACAGTTCTCTTTTATTATTCTGTGTCATAGGAAAGTAATTTGAGTTATACCCAGTTCTTGAAAAAGGAAACATTCTTTGCTGCAAACACTGGGTCTGTTAGTTCATTCCCAGGCAAGATCCTCTAGTGCACAGGAAGTGTGCTTTAGGTTTCCAGCAGCAACAGTGGTTTGTTTAGAGTAAATAGATGAGAAGTACGCCGTTAGCATGAGCAGCAATATCCGGCATGGCTGGACAGACAAAGAACAGAGCGCCACCTACATATGCTCCTGTTATATTGACAGGAAATTTTCCTGTCAACACCAAATATCCTGTAAAATATATTTTTTAGAAATGACAAGGATCTTGAGGATTGCTACTTTATTTCTTTCGAATGTTGTGCTCAAAAGTGCATCTGCTGAACTTCCTTAACTTTAAGTGCGTCTCTCTTTCTCAGGAGGAGAAGAGGAAGATGAAGGAGGAGATCGAAAGGAGGAGAGCAGAGGCAGCCGAGAAGAGACAGAAGGTGGAGGACACTATGGATGGGGAGGATAAACCCTTCAAGTGTGTCAGCCCCCGAGGCTCCTCCCTGAAGGTCAGTCTGACATTTTTGACCTTTCACCTCCAACAACCATGTGTCAAACCAGCTCTATTTTGCCATTTAACTGTTTGCTAAGCACCTTCCCCTTAATTAGTGATACTACGCCTGTCAAGCGTCCCATTCTGGCACGGCACATATGCAGTTCATAATGATGATGACGGCAGATTTCCCACTGGAAATTCTGTATTTCACACAGTCGATTATGCCACCTGAAGAGACAACTGTTACTGGCAGATTTTATCAGCTGTAGCTATTTTATCTAATTAGGCTAACATTGGCTCCAGAGTTGGTTGTAAACTCCTCAGATTAGAGCTGACTTGTGAGTGTTCCCAGCTGACTCTTTTTGAAACAACAGTGTTGTAAAAAGGCGTCTTAAACATGCATTTGGCGGCTACATACTTGATATAATGCTAAAAGCCTGCGGCTAAAGCTAACAGGTCCAGGACAGTAAACATACTAACCAGCTGACCCATGTAAAGATGAGGAAAAAGGTAAAATAATACTGTTATTTCATTCAAACATAACACTGTTTAGCTGCTTAGTTTACATACTTATTTGTATTTTAAAACAGTTCAAGCTTGTAACCCACTAGTGAGGTACACATGCTAACTTTAGCAGCTAACATGAAAGCAGCCAAACACACTTTTGAATAATTTTTTACACTTTTGCTTGTTTTGGAGGAAGACTGCACCATCCAAACTTTTAAGAAACAGAGTATCATACTTACTACAGCCCCCTCATGCTGCTTCAACATGTGGAGAAATCCAAAGCTTGACATGTCTGGCAGTTATTGTTGCTAAGCCGTGATTGGACAGTCGCAGTTCAAGGAAGGGGAAGTTTACCTCAGCCAGTTCTTTGTAAACTGAGATAATTCAATTCAACACTTCAATACTATACTCTTAAATCTGTAACTTTGAGGAACTTTTCCTTCTTGTGCTCTCTGCCTGTGCTGTATTTGCATCCCGCACAGCACACTTGTCAATATAATAGTTCTGCAAATCCCACTCATCTGGCAGTTCAGCAAAGCTCAAGCTAAACATTCAAAATATTTGGAGAGATTTAATGCCAGATGACCCGTATCTGCCCCTCTCACCTCTTTTAGCTCTTTGCATGAAGTGTTATCTGATTAAGATGAAGGAGTGTTCGTAATTGGAAAGAACCTCGATGAACTGAGAGAGACATGTGGAAAAGTCAGCTTCTAGCAAATTTGACTGTCGACTTTGAAATTTTGACTTGTTAACCTGTTTGTCACAAGAAATGCACAAGAAAAAGCAACCCGAATCAAACCAGTGCATACCCCTCACCTCCTCATTCAAAGATAAATGCTTGTCATGGCGAAGGAACATTTAATCAACTCCAATGTGGATAAATGTTTCCAGTGTTGCCAAACGCCAACTCCCACACATCGAAAATCGAGGGGGATTTTCAGCCAGTGGAGAAAATCTAATTAGTGACGGTTAGCAGTAATATATCCATCTGGCCCAGTGCAGTGAGAGTCCAGGCTCGACGTTCAGCTCTAATGGTGTGTGAGCTCTGACCGTAATAGACACACTTTGTTTGTTTGTGGTCAGTTTGTGGTCAGTTTTGTAAATTACTGTATTTTTCCACCCTGCTGCACTTGCCGCACAGACACAGCTTAACTTTTTCGTCATGTTCACTGTAGGTACACCTGTGTTTCTATATATGTGTGTGTGTGTGTGTGTGTGTGTGTGTGTGTGTGTGTGTGTGTGTGTGTGTGGATGGATGCATCTGTCATTTTCATAGATTATACACTATACACTATTGTGTATGACTTGTTGTTTTGCAGTTGTGTTTATGTGACGCTGTATTACCATGTCATAATACAGTTGAGCTGTGTGTTGTATCTTCCAGCTTTGGAGTTATTTTTTTTTATGTTTTTCGCCAACTGCATCTAAGTGAATGCCATATAAAGACCACTATGTTCTACACTTATTTTATGCAAGAAAATGAATTTAAAGATATTGAAAACCGTTTAATAATTTTTTGTCACTTGGGGGCAGTAGAACACAAAATAGACGTATTATCACCTAATGAAGTTGACATGGCTATAAATGTTAGTAAACAGTGTTGGCTAACATGTTAGCGACTTCAGCATTCATTTGGAGACATGCTTCTGGCCTTTTTTTTTTTACTTTGTTTTGTCTCAAACAACTCTAAAGAAAAATATCTCTATTTCTGTCTTTAGCTTCTAAATCCTCCACATGTTGAACTTTGTCTCAGTGCTGTTTGGTGCTGAGCAAGTAATGTACAGTTGGCCTGCTGGCTGCTGCTTCTGGAAACAGCAGTTGATGAGAGCAGTGAGACTGAACCAAAATATTAAAGTTGCGGTTTGTAAAACCAAAACAAAAGAGCTGAAAAAACCCTTAGAGTCGTTTGACCCATTGTCAATATAAAAATATTGATTAGTATAGATTTAAAAAGCGATTTGATTATCACAGCACATAATACGGAGTGTCCTAATGCGCACATAAATGGACAGAGCACATAAAAAGGGATTCATACCTATCTTATATGTTGCTAGGGCCAAACTAAAACTACACAACAGCAGTTAGACCTGCTTTTTCATTTTGTCACATAAATTTTCTCGCTCCATTTATGTGCTGAGTGCATTTCATGCTCCGTCAGTTCTTTTCTATTTCAAATTTCAAAACTGCATGTTTCTGAGGACATACATTGTTTTCCTCATTACCTCTTGCCGTTATGTGTTCTTTGCCTGACAACAGCCATATTATGGCACTTGTTACACTAAAACACGGAGAATTGTGCCCTGCTATCAGCAATCACCTCCCAGTGGAACACACAGTCCCAGGAGCTCGCCTTCATGTTATCAGCAGTAAACCAGCATAACCCTGCTCCATACTATAGATAAAGTGCAGTGTTCTCTGGGAGAAAAGGACAGAGGGACAGAATGAAGGACAGGTTGCGGGGATGCAGGGAAGCGATTATGGTTAACAGGATTACTGTAACTGCGTTCGGATGGATACAGCTCTTTAAAACGCGTCTGAGAATGGGGAATTTCCTGTCAGGGAGTATTTTGGGAACTCCCACATTCGGTAGCAGCCAAGCGCAAGGTCTTTTTTCACAGAGAGAGGGGGCAGAGAGCTTTTTCTGCTGTTTCTTCTTTTGTCCGTTTAAAGGTTTTTTTTGTGAGTGTCTAAGGAGCACATGTGTTGCCCCCTCTTTTAGCCTTTTTGTCGTATATCATAAACAATCCTCTGACATTCCCACAGTCTAAAGGCAGAGATAGGGGAAAGCTTGCTGTGTTTTTTCTGTGTGTGTGTGTGTGTGTGGGCTTGTGTGCATGTGAGACACACCACTGAGGCACACCACTGTGTGCATGTCTTTCAGATCATTTTGCACACACAGGGATCAGTTACAGTGTGTGATCCTGGTCAGGAGAAGCCAACTTACAGACCATATGAAGAAACTAGACAAAATGAAATATAGACCATTAATCAAATACAGTCTGTTGTAGTTAAATGATTGTTGAAGTACATTATGCTATTTAAGTTATGAATCATCATTACAATTAAGAACAGAATCACATGTCTACATATACAAACTTCAGTCGCAAATTGGTTTTACAGTGAAACTCCTCACAAACAATAAAGAAACAAAATAAGCATGGAAATCAGAAGGAGGGCTGGGTTAAACATCTGTTTTGAGGCTACTGAAGAGTGAAGGAAGAATGTTTTGTGTTGCAGTGATGTATGCATGAGTGGAACATCACTGCGATATTTATAACCCAGAGACTTTCTAACCTTTCTCTACAGATCGGAGAGCGGGCAGAGTTCCTCAACAAGTCGGCGCAGAAAAGGTAAGAACACAACTAAAGCATGATCAACCAGTGTCTTGTTGTCCCCCCGGTAACAAAGGTTTTGCTTGAGCATGCAAACCTTGCAGCAGTGGGTGTAGGAAAGATGTAACCCAGAGCTGAAAGTTTAACTCCTATTTGAGTGTTTACTGTGAAGGAAATAAAGATCAAATATTATATGATATTTAAAGTGGTTGCATTTGTTGTGTACTGTATGCTAACTGCTTGCTTTCACCCAGCAGCTCAGTGAAGATGTCTCATTCTCCTGTGGTGTCCAAGATAGACAACAGGCTGGAGCAGTACACCTCAGCTGCTCAGGTAAAAATGCAGAACTTGTGTCATTTGAAACATTTGGCCTAAACCCATCTGGGATTACAAGACACCACTGTGTGTCAAACATCAAAAATATAACAAGACATCTCCCATGGACAGATGTACAAACATGGACTAAGGTCAGCGTTAGGTTTAGGTGAATTATAAAATGTTTTTTTTATGTGATTTTAGCAAAAACTAGCTGGAAAATCTGCAATACTTCAAGACCTCTGACCTTATATACTATAAAATATGTGGAACTCAAAGTTATTTTTTAATTGGTTGATTCATTCATCCATCCACTTTTCGGTTGCTTATCCATGCTGTTTTAAATGATTAATTAATCATAATATTGGGAATTACAGTTATATGCAGCAGGGAAGTACTAATGAATTCATGCACATGGTAATTAATCCTGGGACATATCATTTCTACTGGTTTTCCATAACTTTCATATATATGATCATCAAGCTGGTATTGAATTACATTAAATAATGATGCAGAAACCTTTCGGGCACCCTGAACGTGATATCACATTGCAAGTAGCATAAAGGACAATTTGAAATCAGATTTGAGCAATAAGACAGACACAAATGTCTAAAACCCTGAATATAATTAGATATTGAACTGCCAAAAATCAATTTCCATAACCAATTCCACTCTTACTGTAAAGAAAACTAAACAATCTGATTTTGGGAGCCATTCTGGGACTAAAAGTAGTCCAAATGTACCCTGCCTGTGCCCTGTTTAAGTGGATCATAACAGCTGTCCCCTGCTATTCTCCAGTTTAAACCTGCCACTTTGTCTCAGCAGAGAGAGAACAAGGAGTCTCGTTCCCCTCGCTCAGGAGCGGTGGATCTGCCCATGGTCACCGACAGCATACGAAACATCAAGAGCATGTGGGAGACAGGCAACGTGTTCACCTCACCTGGAAGTGGCGGGAGCACGTTCAAGGTAAAAGATGAGGTGGTGGAGGATGTGAGACAGCTGATTGTGTGACTGGAGCAGGGAGAGAGGGAGAGAGAGGGAGAGAGGAAAGAGCCCAGTTCCGTGGCTCTTCCTGCTCAGCCCCCGTTGCCGATGACAACCAGACTTAGCTGACCTTTGACCTTGTCCAAACAGGAAGCAGCTGTGATGAAGACAGGCGTGGCAGGCCGCATCAACGACTGGCTGAATAAAACCCCGGAGAGCGGCAAAACGTCAGGAGGGAGGCCAACGGTATGTCTCCATAGGTCATCGTCGTAGCAACTCCTGTGGCTTCTGCTAGCAAATACAGTATATGTACTGTGCCGCTTAGGGCCCTATAGAGAAATACATAAAAAACTATAAAATGGCAGATGCAGCTGTGTTGGTTGATCTGCATCATGGTTAGAGTCATCTTTATATATCTGAAGGCTTGTTTTGACTTGTCTAACATGGCTTTCTTTAAATCCCAGGATCTGAACACCTACTTTAAAGACCCAAAAAAATCCTCCTTACCTTGAGTGACTGGGTCCTATATGAATACAAAATTTAGTGCCATAGTTTGAACAGTTTTTGAACAGTTGGTTTTGTGTGGTCACTGTCAGTCGAATTTGGTCAAAACATCCACAGAGTTCTGAAAAAAGCATATTATCTGAGTTTCAGAGTATTAAACTTTTATGAATAATGATTTAAGTAACGTGTCCACTTGTAGTTGGAGTAAATACAGAACTTGACACATGCATTTAAAGTGTTTGCAACCTTTCAAATGCTCTTGTCTGAGCATATTTGTATTAAGGATTCAGTAGTCAGTCATGCATAGGAGCTGCATTCATTCAAGCAAAGACTGGTCAGCTTCATAATAAACTGCAGCACTCTCTGCAGTGTTATTACGGTAATGGTGCAATTACTGCTGGTCACGTTCATTACAGTTCATGTTTTATAATGATTCTCAAATGATGCAGTAGAAGCAAGTCAGGTCGTCCTTGTCCACATTTGTGAGATATTATCTGTCTGGTGCCACCTGGTGGCCACTCATCAAAATAACTTGTGCAGATCTGAGCTTGCTACAGTCACCTCTTAGATCTGTCATAATATCCAGATACAGTGCATGTGTATATTTTAGATTTGGTATCAGTTTGGTGTATAGTGTCACTTAAGCATTTTATCTTAAGCTCTCATAAGCTTTTCTAGTGTTTTCTCTCATGCTCACATCCTGCCATCCTTCACTCCAACAGTACCTATATTTTACCCAAATATTTATGTTAGGGCTTTCCATGCTGCAGATTCTGGCTTGTGCTAAAATTGGTAACACACAGCAGAGGGTATGAGAGGAAACTTTGAGCACAAATATTTACAAAAGAGAGTGTCCAACAAGTGATAGGTTCTGTCATTCCTTAAGCTCTCTTCACCCCTCCTGTCATTCCTTCCCTCGACATCTCAGGTACTCTGCCAACACCGCAATATGATGACTATCTTCAAACTGACCTACGAATGCTGAGCACTGCTGATATGCTGCTGTTGTTTGCCTCTTGTTTTCTGTCTCCCTCTCACAGGACCTGAAGCCTGTTGACGTCACCAACAAGAGGAGTCTATGGGAAAACAAAGGCGCCTCTCCAACCAAGGTAGCTTTTATTGATTTCAGACTATCCACTGTCCAGTGTTGTGTAAAAAAAGATTTGTAGGGTGATCAGAGTACCAGTCTCACCCACTGGGGAAAATCCAAGTGAGCTTTACACATCTGGAGTTTCTCCAGATGAAGTTTAACTATGCCAAATTGGTTTGTGGTCTTGGAAGGATATTCTGTGGTTTTTCATGGTTTTCCAGTTGTTGTCAATCTTAATTTTGTTAAAGAAATTGTATAATATTAAAATAATAATATTAGACTGTTAAAATAATCTCACAATTTTTTAAACCCTGGTGTGGCAGCGACGGGAGTAATAATCACTTATGTTTGTTTTTTTTTAAAGAACTCTCATAGCTAGTTGACCTCACCATTAAATCTGGAATAAGCCTGGAGAGGTAAAAGAGTTCCATGTTTCTTCAAACTGCTTATCACACAATGAGCTCACACTCTGCTGTCACACTTCTTTGCTCTCCGTCATTGGCAGGGCTGTGCTCTGTTCTGCTCTGGTTGGACACTGCTGCTTATTTTAATCACAATGATGATAGATATCTAATAGCTTCAGTCCCAAACGAGGTATTGACAAATGTGTCATCTGTTACATTGAAGTTATTAAATACCATAGCTTTTACACTCAAAGTCACAATATTTTAGAGGATGTCATTATCTGAATTATGTAAATATTGAGCAATAAACAAAAATTGCTTTCCAAAATGCACATAAAGCATTTTGGAATTAAACCCCTCTCTTGTAAAACATGTTTGCCAAATGCTCTAAGTGTTGTAAAATTAAAGGAACAAAATGAACATCAACAAAGCCATAGCAAAGCCAATTTTAAAGAAGGATTACACTGTTGACTCCATTAACACCCATAACTTGTTAAAGCCGACTCAACAAAACCCAGAAGATTACAGTTCAGTGTAAATTCTGTGTCGTAAAAACCTTTAACAGTGCGCCTGTTGTCCAACTGCGGGCTGAATGCTTTTCATAAATGGCTGTATCACATCACTGCTCCTTCTTCTGACAACCACAAATCACTGCTCTCCGTCCAGCTTCACTTGACTTTTTATTGCCCTAATGGAGAAACTGTTTACAGCATTCTTTACAACTAAGCCGCCTTGCTGAGTTCGCAACGGCAGTTTGACAGATTTGAATCACTGTTATCACCTCACATTTTCAAACAAGTCTGACTAAACCTGACATGAATAAATTCTTATCTTATTTTCTTTACATGGATGAAACTGTGTCTGTAGAACTGCTGCTTAATAGAAGTGAATCGCCACATTTTAAAATAGAGCATGACAAGGATGTCCTACCTACCCACTTACTTTCCTATAAACTTTCCTTCCTTCCTACTCTGGTAGTGGTGTGTTCCTGCAGCCAACAGCTGCCGAGCAGGCCGGGGGCTGTGGTCCGCTACAGTGAGTAGTGGGGTTGGAGGGCACCAGGCGGTGGTCTGCACTGACGTAAAAAGGGCCCTGGACAGGAAAGGTAGCGGTTAGCAACCTTGTCATTAGCTAACCGTGCTATGCTGTGATGTCAGGGGAGGCAAGAGAGCAGGATGATGATTGGTGTAGGTTCAAGAGTCTGCACAGATGGAAATGTTACATCAGAAGTGAGCACTTGCTGCTTTAGCTAGAAGCTTTATAGGTGTGTTTTCTGATTTCCTTCATCTTTGCTGCTTTACTACCTTCCTGTCCTCGTGTCTTGCAGGTGGCAGGCAGAGGGGAGACCAAATCAGTCGCCAATGGTGAGTTTTTACAAGACACCAAGAAAAGTATCAGCTTGTAACTGTGGAGCTTGTGAATTTATGTGCAAGCAAACATACAAATGGGTGGGCATGCATGCTGCAGTTGTCTGGTGACCTTGTGACTTGTGTCGACTTTTCAGAACCTCTGAAACACTGTCTTGTTCTTAGCTCTGCCACAGTGCATTTTTTCATTTTTCTAATTGGTTTCAGAAACCAAATGACAGGGGCATTTTTTCTCAACCCATAGAGAAACAGCTAATCCTTTAGTTGAGGTAAAAACATGGAAATTACCCAAATGAGTTGCAAGGTTTTAACCCAACAGTGACAGTATGCTGTTATAAGCATGTAGGCATTTATAATACACATGGAGACACATATACATAAAACTGACAGTACATGCAGTAATTTTAAATATAAATGGTAGCTTGACACTTGAAAAGGGACAGGGACAGAGAATTTCTCATTGTCAACCAATTGTTTCTCCTGCTAGCTAAGACCTACACTGGGAGGACATAACATGCAGAGGGGTTCAAGCTATTCACCCAGGATCCCACCTACATCCCTTCAGTAGGCTTGACCCACTACTAGAAGTAGTTCATGCAATGAAAAGCATATGATCCCTCACTGGTTTCCCACCAGCGAACATAACAGATGTGTTTGTTGGGATAAATGTTTAAGCATGGAATTACAGATGGCGGAATTATGCTTTTCCGTCAATACTTGTAACCATCTCCGCAGACCTGCTCAGAAGGTCTTACGGGTAACCATAGGTCACAGAGGCTCGCATAGGAAACTCAATAACATCTCGTGTGGACCTACACATCAAGCGAGTTGATTGGTTGATTCTACCTGTGTCAGGACTCGAATACCCATCGGACACAAAAACAAACCTAAAGGTTCTAGTATCCAAGTAAAAAAGTGTTCACGTATGTGCAGCTCGGAGAAGGTGCAACCTTTCATTAAGTGTGTCATCTTGTCACTGGCTTTTTGATTTATACAACACCATGTGTCCCAAAACCAATAACTGACCCTGTCATAACCCAGCCTGCAGTCTTTTTCAGGCCGTCTGGCCTTCTGCTCCACAGCGTTTTAGGATGCCACTTAAACATTGCTTGCTATTTTAAAATCAGATCTGAGTGCAGCCTCCTCCTCCTTTTGTTCCACCCAGAAGAGGGGTTTTGGCCTTGAGGGATTCCGTACACGTCTGCCTAATGTGTTGCTTGTTCAGCACACAGGATCATACACACACCAATCTCACCTCTGTAAACCCACTCAACAGCCATCTCGACACCACTCAAACCTTTCAGCTTTTCCACTCATGTGCACGTCCACTCCTGCTGCTCAGACCGCAGCCCTGCCTCTTGGAGTGTCAGAGGCGGTGCTCCTGCCAGGCCGGGTTGTCACATTAATAGCTGGTATGTTGGAGATTAGCACACCATCACAGTCTGACTCAGAGGATGACAGAGGCTTTGTATAGATTTTGCGTTTCTCGCTAGTAGTTGGCTGCAGGACTTTACAGACATATGAAACCACACCTGGACCACATACAAGTTAGCCTCTCCACATGCTTGGCTCTGATAGAGGACTTCCAAAATAATGCTCACCATTTTGGAAAAAAGCGTAGGTGGAAATTTCACTCTGACTGAATTTATTGAATTTAGAACAAAAACTCTCAAGTAAGAATTTTTTGGTCTCCATTGTACAAGATGGAGAAATATTATTGTGTACAACAGTGTCTAACTCATGGAACACAAAGTCCTGGTCTGCCTCAAGTTTGCTTCACTAAACTTGCCAAAGATGCAAAAATGTCCATGAACAAACTCCTGTTCCTCTGTATTTTATTAAGTCAGATGAACCTATCAAGAACCCTTCTGTAAATATTTTGCAGTGATGTGGCCTGTTTTGACATGTGGGTTTCGACCATGAAATGTAGAACAAGACAAATTTCATGATGATCAGTCAAATAATTGTTGAGATGTTTCACTAAAAACCAACCAACCAGTCTTGTTAATGCAATAACAATCTTAAGCATTGCATCCAACAAACATCCTAAAACAGTAAAATTGTTGACTTACTTCTTTTCCATTGAGCTGTTTACAGTCAGTTTTCTTGGAGCCAGCATCAAATAGCCTTGTAACTGTGTGTTTGCTGCAGTTAACTGCGTGTCTACAGCTCTTCGCTGTGCTGTCTGCTTCATGGTTTGACCCTTAGTGTTGGAAGGTCAGAGTCATTAACCCACACCTGCCTGCAGACTGGTAGTAAAGCCTCTGATTGACCTGTTGTGTGTCTTTCACCAGGGATGGGGCACTAATGTCTTGAAGGAGCCACTGAAGACGGGGACCACGACAATCCAAGACTCTTCCTTTGACTTTGTCTTAAGAACCAAATAATGACCACACTCCCAAGAGGGACCCCAAGAAAACAGAGGGACAGGAGAGACGCTGTCCAAGCACTGTACCCAAACAAGATCATATTTTTGTACGGTTGCCACGTGTAGTGCCTTTGCACAATGATTTTTGCTTTCTAAAAGAAACGAAATGCTGTGAAATTTGGACATTTGTAATTACTGTTACTAATTACTTTATACAATCCTGCCAGGAAGAAAAAAACTAATTAAATTTAGATTTATCTGTTGTACTCCATGCCTACAGTTTTGATAGAGACAGAGTAGATGAGTTAAAAGTTTCCACATTCCAAAGAGATGGGTGAAATCAGTTCTCTCCCTCACACAGATCATTTTCCATCTCTTTTTTTTTAATTTATATTTAAAGCAAAAGCTTCACACATTGCTATTTTATTCAACGTTCACCAGTTCAGGATAGAAATATAAGCACTTCTAGAATTTAGCTGATTTCACTTTTATTATGTCTTACCAATAGTGCAGCATTGGTCTGAGTAATATATGTTAGCACATGTGATGTTTTGAATATGACCTATCATACTGTATCATATATAACATCTCTATACTCCTAACAAAAGGTATTTTTGCTTTTTTGTATCCAGAAACTATTCACCAATGGGCAGTTAATTTTGGAGGTGACAGGAGTGTTGAATATTCAGAAGGCCATTATGACTTTTATTATCCTTTATGTCATTTAATTTATGTGTTTTTAATGTGTTTTTTCTTTTCTATTTCTAGCTGTTTTTGTAGCTTTTGTATCTGTTTGATCACTTTAAAATCTTCAGACATTCCTCTTAAAAAGCAGGTGCACAAGGTGCCTTCACTGCTCAAAAGCTGTAGGTTTTATAATGTAGGAAATCGGCAAACCAGCCTTTTTTGTTTTTAAATCTACCTTTAACTTCTTTTTTGCCTCTATGCACACTCTTATGCTCAGCGATCATTTTCTAATTGAGGGCATACAAAGTAAAATCAGGGTGCCTAAGTATTTAGCAAGATACAGTACAAGGATATTTACCACTATGTAACTCTTCTGGCCTTATGATTGCAATGACAACATTTATGACAGCTGAGGTACAGTACATAAAAGCCTCAAAGCAACTCAGTATGATATTAAGACTTGTGATTTTCATGTTTATTTTTCACTAACATGGTCTTAAGTAGCGCATTCCCTTTCACTAGTTTTTGCGCGACACAAGCTTTGACAAGCACATGAATGGTTTGACAGGGCATTAAATTGATCCATGTTACTGCTCAAAAGTCTGACAATCACATTCCATTGCTCCTGAAAAGAGCAGGGGGGCTTGACCAAAATATTTTTAAGCGTGATTTAATGTGACATTTATGTTTTTTAATACAATGGTTTCATAATGCCGTATTGTTTTTTCTACAACCTTGTTTTTTTTAATTCTTTTATTTCCATGTTTAACCAGACACTTGTTGTTTGTGTAGCGATAAGCCTATGCAAAAAACACTATCTGTAGTCTCTCTAAACACTCCCAATGTCATACAAGTGGGCAGTTTCCAACTGGATGGATGTTTTAAACATTGTACCCTTGACTCAACAACAGCAATAAAGACATTGAGGTATTCCACATTGTTAAGTTTCCTTACATAACTCTGCGTTCTACCAAAGACTACATTATGTGCTGTATATGTCCATTGTTGCAAGAAATGTTGAAATAATTAGTCAATTAATCAGTTGATGTGGGGCCATGAAACTGACCAAATACAGTAGGTTATCAGAGAAGTTAAAAAGCTGAACACATACATAAATAGTGTAGTTTGCTAGACAATTGAAATATGAAAAGTAAAGTTATAAAGTTTCATGATTTTCTTTCAACCTCCTATCAGTTGGTTAAAAAAGCTTTTTTACCTTTACCACCAGTCATTAGATTTACAACTGAAAATAAAACTTGAAATGAAACTATAAACTCTTCACTAGCTCACATTTTAGTTTTCAACTCCTTCATTCTCCTATTTTGGGGGGTCTTGGCCAGTGATGTACATCCAAAGTCTTGGCACAATAAATTTAACACTTAACACCCTTTTCTGACTGCTTTACTGATGTAGTAAAGATAAACACATGGTCTTTCAAGTAGCATTAGCTTTTTAACTAATGTCACTTTGCTGGGTAAGTTTTAATTTGTTTTATCAACTAATTGGAGGCAACCTATACAACTTTTTACAATATCTTAATCATTTATTAACAATTATCCTAATTTATATTTGCTCAGTTATATATTTTAATTTTATAATAACCTTTTATAGTTGAACAAATATTCAAAAACATTTCGCTGGTTTCATTTTCTCAAATGGGACCAACTGCTGCTTTTCTTCATATTGTACTGTATAATTGTAAATTGAATACGTTTGGATTTTGGACTGTTGGTCTGACAAAAGTATTTTAGAATTTTATTACAAAATGTCCTTTTCAACATTGTGATTAAAATTGTGATTAATTGTGAATAATTAATCATAATTTATGCACGAACCATTGCGACCTTAGTAAAGGCTATATTTGTACAATTATATTGTCTTCAAGGATAGGTGACACACAAAGGACCCAGTCATTGTCAAGCCCTCTGTTGCCTTCAAGTGCTGTCGGGAATGTGGGCAATATAATAATGAATTGAGTCGACTTGAATGGATAACTTTATCTTGGATCAAGTGGCCAAAACATGATGTGTTTACAGTGTCAGTGAGCATTTGATGGTAGAAGGCTGATCGGAAAGGTCTTGCATAAATTCAGGACCTCAAAACTGCTGCCTGTCTTTTTTCTACTTTTCATTTTGCTTCAGCAGCACAAACGCAGCCGTGTTTTGATGTTTCTTAGAGACAAAAAGAAACAACAACCACAAAAAAACTTCCCAAGATCAATTTTATTTCCAGTCAAAAAGTCATTTGAGGTGGAACAAGTTGTATTTCCAATTTCTGGCCTCGGTTGAAGCAGATCACGAGGAGCACTTGAAGGCAGCATTCCTCCCCAGGTGTAACTCATCTTTCTGCCTCCAACAATAGAACTGACAACCCTAACCAGTCATACAAAAGATATGTGGTCACATGACAGACAAGGTTGTATTAAGTATGCTTTTTGGTGGGGTAGATGATTGAACTTGTCTCTATCTGGATGTGAAAGAATAAGACCTGAACGTGCTGCTAATCCCGTCTCTTCCTCAGGGATATACACGAGGTAAGAGCACGACCATGACCTCTGGGTGCATGACAGTAAAAACGTCAGTAACATCTTTCAATCACTGTTTTTTTTAACTCTGTATTGATGTTCAGTTCATATTTTGCAGTTTTTAATGAAAATATCTGTCCGTTTGTTTAAAAATCTTGATCAATTTGACAAAAACTTAGACGAGCTGTGCTGAATTAAATCCATAAAACCCCTCAGCATGATCTAACATCTAGCTGTTAACTCATACAAAGCCATGAATGCTGAATGAAATTGGCTCAGGCGGTGCCTAAGTAGACTCTTAAAGATTTTATGATGGCTTTTCTTTGATGTATTCTGATCTGAGCAGTGCATATGCTGGTGAAGAAGGTGCTAAGCTCGCCCCTGAGACTGCCGTGTTGGTAGCATGCTTTGGGCTTTGACTTAATGCTGCCTAATGCCGAAACCAGCACCCGCAACATTCCTGCCTCTGTCAGATTGTGTGTTATTCCACAATTTCAGCCAGACGGGGACTGACCGCATGCATTAAAGCAAATACACATTTAATACCCCAGCCATGACAGCCCTCATACACACACTGAATTCTTTTTGGGTTTCCAGTCAGTGCTTTTCTTCAGCCAGATGGTATTCGTCTATTTCTCCTTTTCTGTCTTTCCCAGGCTCGCTCACTTTCTCTTCACTTTCTCCTCCTCGTATTTCTCTTTCCCTCGTCTTTTGACGTAAACTGCTCAGATCTGACGACACAAGTAACAACCACACTGGGACTCCATGCACCACCATGTTTGAATTTGAGCAGAGATGTAACAGAATTTAAACAGAAGCATGACTTTGGACAGTAACCATATACAGGGAAGGTGTAAATATGGCATGTAGAGATTGAATGTGCAGCTGGCCTGCTGAAACGACTTGGGGGGAAAAAAAGAACAGGACTGCAGCCAGGCAGGAGGAGGAGGAGGAGGAGGAGGAGGGACGGTGGAAATGGAGATGTGGAGCTAATTTTCTCTGTCCCAACATCACCCATCCAACATGTATATGAAATATGTTCCTATTATTACACAAAAAAAATGGAATGAACTTGTTTCTATGATGAGGAATATGTTTAAGAAACAAGACAAAGTCCTGAGAGGCATTGTTATAAAAATGTTCCCCAACCAGCAGCTGACCAAACCGCAATGACAAAAATAGCCTGTCTGAATGTGGGTCCCAGCTCACTGATTTACTGTGAGTACGTTGAGGTGAGCCAAACCCATTGTCTGGAGGAGTAGCTCCACACCTGTTCAAAAGCACGCTCTATTATTCTTAAAAATAGACCCTTGCTCTCCCCCACTGTTCAGCTCCACTGACACCAGTTTTATGATCTGGTGATTTATAAGCATGTGGAAAATACGTGGTCCAAGGGACTGTTGTGCACAATCATATTCTGATATATAAGGAACCTAGTGATACCACGGCCTTATTGCATTCATCCCTGTAACCTTGACCCCAAACACCCTGGTGTTGTTTTGTTAGGTTATGGAGGCTAGATCGACTATAGTTACCCGTCTTTATATAAAGATACTGTATATAATTGGAATTGTTCCAATGCATACAAGCTTACTGTATTTTCTTAAATGATTTAGCATTGCACAATACTTTACAAATTTTTTATTAAAAATGCATGTTTGCTTTTTTGCCGAGAGTTAGATGTGAAGATAAATACGACTCTCACATCTGTACAGTAAATATTGAAAGCCAAGCTCTTTCCAAAGGTTTTAAAAAGATAAAAATAAAAAGTCATTTTACACGTAAATCTAAAGGGTGGAAATTAACATGTTATATCTTGTTTGTCTAAGTCATACAAAAACGACCCCCCCCCCCCCCCCCCCCACAAGTTGTGGTTTTACGCGGTAAAGTTCTGGACTAAATCTTGAGCTGGACTCCAGGTACAAGAGTTGTATCGATCTTCTCATCTAACTCTCAGAACGAAGCAAAGCAAACAAGTGTATTTTCAAAAATGACAAACTATTCCTTCCTTCCTTCCTTCATTGGTATGTATGGATCAAGCTTCAAAACACTGTATCTTAGATTTCCCATTATGCAACTCAACAGAGTGTAGCCTACTTCTTTCACTTCTTTTCAAACTTTCTTCAGAAAAGTCTGAGATAACCTTGATGGCATCACCATGACATCATCAGGATTATTTTCTCAGACTTTGTAAAGCTCCTTCCAAAGCCACAGAGGACATTGTACAATTGTTTATACAGGTTGACAAGTACTCCTCATGACAGGTAAATTAAGTAAAATTTCTGGAATGCCCCTTTAATGAATCAAGTAAACTGAAATCAAATGGAAGCATTATGACGGATATTTCTTTGTGTACTTCAAAGTCTTTTGAGCACCTGGAAAATTGTTTACGTATCAAAGCTAATATGATATGCGTGGCTTCAGAAAAGTCAGGGTGTCCCTGAAGAACTCTTGTAGTCCTGGTAGTTTCAGTGCTGTTCAGACTCCAGTCGACTGCCTGAAGCCTTGATCAGTGCCAAGAGGAAATGGCTGAGGATTAGGCCTGGAGCTGTTTAAAGCCCTGGGCCTCTGCTTGCAGTGCCCATGGTGGAATCATTTCAAATTCTACAATTGCTCCAATCTCCCAGCATGTAGCCAAAGGGTTTTTTTGTTTTTTTTTTTTTTTCTTTGTAGGTTTTGCGTTTAGTTGTTTGCACAAATGATAAAAGCACTGAAAGGAGAAGAAAAGAAAAGCACTACAACCCATCTGTCCGAGGGAAAGAAATCTCAAGAGCTCGTAAAAAACATTACAGTTGATAAGATAAAGAGGAAAATATCAAGAAGGCAAACAACAATACAAATCACAGCAAGAAAAACATTAAAATACAAAAATAAATGTGAACAGTCCTAATTATATTGAGCCCAAGAGAACTGAGTATTTGTGTGAGTGAGTGTGTGTCAATTTAACAGCTGCATTAAAATTCTGTTACTAACTCAAAACAAAGGAATTCATTAAAAATGAGTCTTGCAATCTGTGTGATAAATTGAAGTGGAGATATTTGCATTTATTGTGTGCTTTCTGCTTCGATTCAGGTACTTTTAATCCAAGATGTCTGAAGTAGAGGTAGAAGTAGAGGAGATGCTGTGAGTACTTTCACTATATCTTCCAAACATTTCTTGTTTTTATATACAAAGTATGATTTTGACTTATTCATCCAAAAGTTCAAATCTTCACTTCTTTTATTTTCAGGGAGGAAGGTAAGTAAAGGCTTTGAGAGCATTCACTGTGTTTTTGAAAGCAAAATGTCACGTCCAAGCTTCCATTGCGAGATGTAGCTGACCTGATTATGTCCACTCAGAGGTAGAAACCCAGGAAGAGGAAGGTAAAGGCTTCTGCACGGCTTCGTGTGTGTGTATAGTCTTGTTTCCTGTGTGTCTACTGCTGTTAGTGTCTGCTGTCAGTGATGAAAACCATAGCAAGCTAGCTGAATGTATTTTCTGTTTGAACGTTAACACTTCATTTGTCAACACTGATCCATCAGCTCATGTATAACTGTCACTTTGTATCAAAATTATCTTCATCCCATTTTTAGCACTCATACATCTGTGTTTCAATATTCTGACAAAGGTTGCATGGAGGGTTTTCTGATTTGACTCCAAGTCAGATTTGACTCAAAAGTCTGTATGTTGTGGTGTTTTAATACATGCCATTATTTGGACAAATAACATTATATTCATATTTTTTTTATAAACTGCAAAAACACATTATAAAAGCATCAGTGATGGAAAGTAACTGAGCACATTACTCGAGTACTGCTCTTTGTACTTTTTGTGAGAAATAGGCTATTTAACTTTCTGTTTAACTAGTATTTGACTATAGTTACAAAAAATGTATTGTTAAATCAACTGTTTGACTTTGGAGAAATATGACAATTTGCTTTCCTGCCAAGTAAGATGGGAAGATTAATGTCTATGCTGAGAATCTAGCCCGAGCTAGCATCTGGTTAGCTTAGCTTCCCATCAAAAAAATGGAAGCAGGAAGCTGCGGTCCAAAGGTAACAAAATCCACCCAACAGCTACCTCTAAAGCTTGCACATCAACACGTTATATCTTTTGTTTAATCTGTAAAAAAAAATAAATAAATAAATTTTTTTAAAAAGTGTCGACAAGATTTGTGGTTTAGCTAGCCAGGCTTTCCTCTGTTTCCAGTCTTCATGCTAATCTATGCTAATCTAAGATAACCAGCAGGTACGAACATCTCTTGCCTTTGGCAAGAAAGCAAATTAGTGTATTTCTCAACATGTTTATGAGGTCACACTGACTTGTGACCCCTCTCAGAAAAGTAGTGTAGTTGAGGCCCCATGTCTATGAGCTCCCCTGAGTTTTGATACTTTTATTTAAGTAAGTTGAATGCAGAACTTTATACGTTGCATTTATAAATTGGTACTTTTGAGCAGTAGACAGAGAAAAACTGCACATTTTTTTTTCCTGTTGTTCTGTTATGTTTTGAGATTTTGTATTGTTACAAACAGCTCACAGGCTCAGTTTGTTATCAGATCATTCCCTGTTTTAGCTTTGTTCAGAATGAATGTAGACACCAGCACTGTTTTTTCAGTGCATCCCAAGAGACAATATCACAGTGCTCGGAGTTTGACCAAATCCCAGCCGCAAGCTGTTTGCCAGCGTCTCACTGATCCACTAATCCATATTTTGTTCACTCAGTCATAGAGGCACTGAAAAAGAAAGGTTTGTATGAGTTGTTTTTGTCTGTAAATAATGCCTTTCACTTTTTTCTTCACTTTCACACTTGTGGGATATTACTGTAGTGTGTGTTGGGCACCACGTCTTCTTCTGTCATGCTTTTTGGCCAACAATGACAGGTTATGGCTTCATTAATCTTTGTCATGTTCTTGTTATGTAGAAGAAGCTGCACCTGAAGTAGAAGGTAATTTTCTTCTTTTTCCATTTTTCTATGTGCCGGTAGGCTATAACTGCAGCTGCTGTTTTATAGAATAATCAAAGCATTGCTTGTGCATTACATACAAATTATATAAAAGCTCTTATTCTCTTCAAATAGAGCCTCCATCTGCACATCTTAGTAAATATTAAATAGTCTTTTCAATCTCTTCTCATTCACTTCAGCATGTCACTATTCATTTACTTTTATCAATATTAGCTTTTTCATGTTGAGTATTCACTAATCACTGCAATGTTTGGCTGCTGAGGAGCCGCCTGCTGAGTTAGTATTTGATGAAATCATTCCAAAATGAGATATCCACTTTGTTTAAAGTGTGACATCTACTCAGACAAAATTACCGTTTGCCTGCAAGAAAAAGTCACTGCTGATTATTGTTGAAACTTTGGCTATTATTACTTTGGCTTTATCTATTTACAGACACAAAACTGATATTTCAGATTTCAATTTTAATCATCAGTAATATTTTTTATTTAATTTGAATGTTTTGTAAACCTCTTCATCATCACCGCATACACAGTATGTATTTACTTGCTTTAAGACTGCAAAGAGAGATTGTTTGTATAAAATGGAATTGTTGCATATAATCAAATTTTCATTATTTCACACCACCTCAGAACCTCCCACCGCTGAAGGTAATGACTTTTTCTTCTGTTAAATTCTATTGTGCAACAATAATCAATAGCCTTCTTGTAATTGCTCGAATGTCAGCTGTTCCAGTTCAAACTGGTGTTCTTATTTATGGAAAAAAAGTAGCATTTTGATTTGATGTCTGACATCTTTTCTTTTTACTTCAGCATGTTTTGGTTGAATCATTACCTTAGGTAACATGAACATATTGTAGCTGAATGATACCATGAATATTTACTGATGAGCTATTCTCCATTTCTTCCACTGATCATGATCGCTGATCAACTGTCTGCTCACATTGCCTTCGCAAAGAGCCTGCAGAGGAAGGTAACATATGGTGTATCTGTTCAAACTTTTATGCATGGTGTGACTAAATAACACTATATCACTCTGGTATGTGCATCCCACCTTGTTTTGCAGTCATTTAGTTGAGGCAAGAAGACCTTAGTGCTGAGATATTTGTGGGGAATAATAATAGTAAGTTTCAATCTTTACAAATCCCTGTTACAGAAGAATTCATATATGGTGCTATTTTTTATTTATTTATTTTTTCTTGTGCCTTATTTATTCTGTTAAAACACTTATAAAAGAACTGCCCCTGCTATCTGAAGGTAACCTAAGCTTTCATGGCTTGAAACCCCTTAGAATACTCACACCGTAACCCAGTATGACAAAGCATACAGAAACCGTTTAGACTTTCCCTTTCTCCCTCTGACAGGCAGGGACGTCTGTCATATCAAAATATATAAAGCAGATATCTGCTCTGAGTGAAATAGTATTTGTGAATAATACAGTAAATCCATTTGCATTCTGCCTGCTGATGCACTAACAGTCTTTTTTAATGTCTTCTGCCGTAGAGTCTCCAGCTGCAGATGAAGGTACTGTTGCCTGCTGAGGAGGCCTTATGGTTAAAGTCTGTGATCATTACTGTAGTTTAACAGGAATGTCTGGTGTCTTCAACTGTCTGTTTGATGAGTGCTGCAAACCACAAAGTGCTGTACAACACATGCTCACAAACACTGCCAAAATAAAGGCTATGTGGTATTTCAAAAACAGCTTTTGAGACACCATGAAGAAATCCTTTTTTTTTCTTTCTTTTTCTTTTTTTTTTTTAAGACAGAGTGCACTGAATTTCAGCATGTTGTTGCACATTATGTTACACATGCTGTTCATTATGTGGCCACTGTGCTGGACATTGTGTATAAAATGGCTACAGACAGTGCATGATAGTTGTAACAGACAGGACCAAATCTTTTGTACAGAATCCAGCAAGTAATTATTCACAGACACGGTACATTTTGTTAGTGTGTGTTGAGTGGGTTTGCTGCCTATTGTTCCAGTTTTGAGATTCAGTCACTGATAATCTCAGCCTGCAGGAGAGAGTCAGGCTAAGTGAGCATTGTCATTTTATTTATCAATGATCAAACTATTTGACATGTTAGATAAAAAATTTATATCACAAATATATTGGTTTAATATTTGGTCTTAAAAACTTAATTGATATTTAAAATAAACTTGTACGGAAGATGAAAAAGTATACTGTATTAGGTGGTATCTTAACTGTGATTATCCCTTTTTACTGTAATAGATGACTCAAAACCCAAACCAAAGTAAGTCTTTCATCATTTGAATTTGAATCATTCCCCATCATCCAACTGGTGACTAGTTAAAGTTCTTGTTATTCTAACCCAGTAATGTTATATTTCAGGGCATTTGCTCCGGCTATAGCTGTGCCTAAGATACCAGAGGGAGAAAAAGTCGACTTTGACGTGAGTGATTGATGTCATTTTATTTAAAGTTATTTTTTGGGGCAGTTTTCTTGCCTTTGTTTAGATAGGGACAGTGAGAGAGTGACAGGAAAGTTTGAGAGAGAGAGAGAGAGAGAGAGAGAGAGAGAGAGAGAGGGGATGACATGCAGCAAAGGGCTGGGTCAGACTCGAACCCATGGCTGCTGCGGTAAGGACTGAGCCTAAGTAGTATGCGCTCCAGTAGTTGAGCCACTGGGGCATCCAGATTGATGCCATTTTAAAAGAATAGTTTGACATTTAGGGATTTTCTTGCTGAGTGTTACATGAGACGGTCAATTTTTTTTCACATGTAGATGCATCAGCAGACCATTAACTTAGCTTTTCCACAAAGACTGGAAACAGGACGTTTTTACACTTTAGTTTTTGTACAGGTTTAAAAGAAAATAAGATAGATTAGAGAGGATTTATTTATGTATTAACCTTTTTAGAGAGCCAGGCTTGCTGTTTCCCACTGTTTCCAGTCTTAATGCTAAACTAAGCTCACGGGCTGATGGCTAGGGCTTTATTTTTAGTGCACAGACATGAGTGATATTGATTTCCTCATCAAACACACAGAAAGGTGTATGGGCAGTGTTTCTTTATGCAACACGGATACAAATACACTATCATGAATTTATAATTAATGAATACAGAATGAGTAGTTCTGTATTTCTACTAAATATTTCATGTAAATGTATGGTGAAAGTTTTTCTTTTTTGTGTGTATGTATCTACAAGGTGGTGTCTGCCTGCTTTTCTTATATACTTCTAGATTTGTGAGAACTAAGTGTCTAATAGTTTAGTGTCATGACTTTTAGGTAACTGAATAAGTTTGAGTTGGTTTGGGCTTCTGTAATCCTAAACCCAGGTCTTGATTTTGAGGTTTTGGAATGGATATCATGAGTAAAGCACTACAAATGTGTGTATATGACTGCAGGACATCCAAAAGAAGCGTCAGGAGAAGGATCTGACAGAGCTGCAGTCTCTGATCGAGGCCCACTTCATTCAGAGGAAGAAGGACGAGGAGGAGCTCATCGCTCTCGTTAACAGGATCGTAAGTCTTTAAGGAAAGCATGCTAGATCCCTTGAGTGATGCACCACCCAACAATTACATTGTGTGTGTTTGTGTGTGGACATGGATGTGCAGGAGAAGCGTCGTGCTGAGAGGGCTGAACAGCAGAGGATCCGTGCAGAGCAGGAGAAGGAGAGGCAGGTTCGCCTTGCTGTGAGTAATCAGTCATCTCATCTTTTTCAGGACATGACCCTGTATACAACAAATAAATGACTGGCACCCTGTAGTTTCACAGAGTTCCCAAATGCAATTAGGGAGTGGGACATGTGTGTCTCCTGGTGGGAAATCTTCTCTGGCTGCAGAAGTGACAGATACAATCTACTAATCAACAGTGGAGGAATACTCTATCCATTATGTTTTTGCCAATATTTCCTCTCTTTAATGTGATATATTGCAAAGCACCAGAGAAAGGCCAATCTTGAATATATGAGTGTGCTATGCCAAGTTTATTAATGTCACAATACAAAATGTCCTTTGCAACTTTAATATCGGCTCAGACGACCTAGATTTAGATCAAATTTAAGTCTTTGCCTCGTAGTTATGATTTCTGTTTATGATTTTATTATTCACTACATTAGGACTGCTGGGTAAAAATAATGTATCCCCAAGATGGAGTTTTCTCTTTCTTACTTTAAAGCTGCACTAGTCAATCCTTTTGATAATAACAATGGATAAAACAACTGTTTAATATGAAAGGAAGACAACTATTACCAAATTTTGCAGTACCTCTTATAGCTATACAGAGCGTTTTAGTGTCTTTCAGCTCGTTTTGGTTTTACAGCCTGCAGCTTTAATGTTTTGGTTCACTCTCAAGGCTCCCAGAGCATTGTTTCCAGCTGCTGCAGGCAGCTATACACTGCCTTCCCCAGGAATAATGGGCACACAATTCAAAGTTAGCAACTAGGTAGTGAACACAGTATAGCATTTAGCAGCTTAAAAGCCAGAAACACGGTTTCAAATGAATCGTAAATAAAGTTGCTCCATATGAACTGAATAAATGGTAACTTTGCAGATCAACCTAAAAAGTAATATGTTGATGTTGTGGTTACACCTTGTATCCACTGCCCCCAAGTGGCCAAAGAAATAAGTAAATGTAGGTAAATCTTGAAATCAAAATTAAGCTTATTGTCATGGCAAACAGATTTTCCTGCAGCTATGGTAAAGGTTACTTTAGTATTTCAAAGGTGAGCAGGTGTTTCTTTTCCCCCATGACTACGCTGTACAATCTGTACTGCAGGAAGAGAAGGAGAGGAAGGAGCTGGAGGAGGCACGTAAGAAGCTGGATGAGGACGCCAAGAAGAAAAAAGCTCTGACAAACAGGACTCAGCAGTTTGGTGGTGTCCAACAGAGGGTCAGTCATCCCACATAAGCACACATACATTTGAGTTTCAAAATTTGCTGCTTAGTTTGTAGTGTAAATGTGGCTTCTTTCTTTCTTGTTCTTTCGTCTTTTTAATTCTCCCATCCAGCAAGATGGCAAGAAGGGAGCTAAAAAGCAGACGGAGAGAGAGAAGAAGAAGAAGATCCTGGCAGAGAGGAGGAAGCCTCTCAACATTGACCATCTCAATGAGGACAAATTGAAGTAAGGACACAGAGTTTTTGCTAAGCAGTTATTTTTCACAGTTCTGTAGACAGACTGATAACCATATTTCCAGTCTGATGCAGGTGATTTGTTTGTCTATAAACCGCCATCAACTTCCCATTCCCAGTGTCAGTGTTTTACAGTTTTAACAGGGCCTTTGAGTTTTCTGTTTCTTAACTCCTCCTGGTTTTTGCTCAAAAGGGAGAAGGCCAATGAGCTGTGGCAGTGGCTGCTGACACTGGAAGCTGAGAAGTTTGACCTTGGCGAGAAATTGAAGAGACAGAAATATGATGTAAGTACTTTGCCTCGGGATGTTCATGTGGCGATTGCTCCGTGAAATCGCATAAGGGAAAACCCTTTCTCTCCAAATTTACCTGCCTCTAAAACAATAGTGTTAGTTTAAAAGTTAATTCAGTCTGGTTAGGAAATGTTTTTAAAAGAATAGTTTGACATTTGGGGAAATACTCTCATGTCTGTATGGTAAATCTGAAGTTACAGCTAAAGTAGCAGCCAATTAGCTTATCTTAGCAAAGACTGGAAACAGGGGAACGGTTATCTTGGCTCCGTCCAATGAAAAATAATATGCTAACTAGTGAGCCTTATAGGTACTAGGCAGATTTTATTACCTTTGAACAGAGCCAGGCTAATTGTTTCCCATCTTTATGCTAAGCTACGCGAACTGGCTGCTGGGTCCAGCTGTAGCATTAAATCTCCCCTGCTAACTCCCAGTAAATGAGGGAGTATATTTCCCAAAATTTCTTAATATTTGTTAATGGTCTTTGCTTGCAAAAAAGGAAATAATAGGATGTAGATCTTAGTGTTTTTGTTTTTTTTTTTAAGAAAAAAAGAAATCTCTATGGCATGCCTAAGAAATTAGCGCATCTATAATATATTAACAATTTAAACTGATTTATGTTCTTACATCAATTTAGTTAATTAGATAAAATGATAAAGCCAAACTTTGCAAACTGATGGTGCACAGTCTACAGCCCTGAAAAAGCCACATATTTTGAAAGCTGAAACTACTACACTTCTAATGCAAGGCTGTCCTCAGGGCACCTATCTAAAATAAATGTGACCTGACTTCCAGATCAATGTGCTCCAGACCCGAATCAATGAGCAGCAGAAGTTGTGAGTAACTCTTAATGAGGAGAGTGAGCCTCATGGTTGTTGTGTAGTTTTGCTGTCCGTGTGCTGAAGGGTCACAAACCGAGACTCGGGCTGCAGGAAGCATCTGAGCGACACGAACAGAAGGTGAAGCTGGTGGTGTGTCTTGATGAGGAAGCTTGCACAAGCTGGAATGTGGTTGTATTTAATCCAGGAAAAGAAGTCCCAAAAGTCAGATATTCTATTACTACAGCTAGTCAGTGTTTACCGTTAAAGTATGCACAATTTAAAGAACCAGAAACATAAGACAGTAGTTTGATATTTTAGGAAATTATTTCTTGTCGACAGTTATGAGAAGATCTATACTACTTGCATATCTCTGTTAAATGTAAGGTTTTGGCCAGCAGCTGTTTAGCTTAGATTACTGTGGAGATGGAAAACGGGAAAATGGCCAAAGGTAAGAAAATCCAGAATGAACATAAAAGATGTAGAGTGTGTATTTCCAAGCTTCCTGCAGCTGTCATACAGTGTTGGCAGAAGGAGAAAACCTCACATTCTGCAGGGGAGCTTTCTTACAAGGGTGTAGGTTTGCTTATGGACGTATATTTGAGTGAACTCGTTCGCACTGTGTTTGGAGTGAAGTCACATTTGATCATTCCAATGTGCTTTCCAAGAGGATATGTCTCCAACACAACCGATTTTAGGCATGCTAGCATTTGATTGACTAAAAGGGCAAGGGCTATCTGAGGCTCATTTCATGTGAGAATATCTATTTAACCATTTTATCTAGCATTAACTAGCAAGCTACCCTGGCTTCTGTCTTCTGTAGGCTAGCAGTCAGTTTGATTGCAGGAGTAAACATGAAATGGTGGATCTCTCAAAGTATGGGGGTAGTTTCTGTGGAAAAATCCTCATGAAAATATCAACATGAATATGATGACTTTTTATGCCTTACTATACTGTGCCTTTTTTTATACCTTAATATACTATGACAACTTTATGCCTTACTATACTATGACCTTTTTATGCCTTACTATACTATATCATTTTTATGCGTTGTATACAGTGACTTTTTATTCCTTGCCATGCCCTTTTTATGCCTCACTGTATTATGACGGTTTTATGCCTTTTTATGTCTTAGTGCACTGTCGTTTTTTTGCCATGCTATACTATTACATTTTCATGCCTTATTATACTATGACATTTTTATGACTTTTTACGCCTCACTATACTATGGCGTTTTTATGCCTTTTTATTCCTTGCAATACTATGTTTTTATGCATTACTATACGATGGTATTTTCATGAGTTTTTATGCCTTATGATACTATGTTGTACTCATGACTTTTTATGCTTTAGTACACTATGACGTTTCTATGACTTTTTATGCCTTGCTATACTGTGTGGTTGTTATGCCTTGCTATTCTGAGGTTTCTTTGACTTTTTACGCCTTAATATACGATGTAGTTTTTATGACTTTTTCTATGCCTTGATATACTATGACATTTTTATGCCTTACTATACCAAGTCATTTATATGACTTCCTATGCCTCACTATACTATGACGTTTTTATGACTTAATATACTATGTCGTTTTTGACTTTTTACGTCTTACTATATTATGACTTTTTATGCCTTACTATACTATGTCGTTTATTATGCCTCATTGAAAAGATGATTTATTATGTCAGAAAGATGAAAAAGTAAACACATTCAGACCGACAAGTCAACACCACAATGTGGCTGGTTTTATTCGTGAACAAAGGAAAGATTTGGTACAAGGCACACTGAGATCTTTCTCCAAATAACTCTCTGATGTGATCACATCCGTGGCGCCTCTTAGGTTTTACTTGCCCTTCTTCAGAGGTCCTGAGATCATCCATCTGTGAGATTTTAACAATATAAGCAAATACAAACATTCATAATGTTTAACAATTAATGCCTTGCACTATTCTATGCCTGTGACCTTTTCATGTCTTTTTATACCTTGCTATACTATGACATTCTAGAAATACCTAAAAACGTCATAGTATAGTATGGCATAAAAAGTAAAAAAAAAAAAAAAAAAAGACGGTATATTGACGCATAAAAGTTCATGAAAACATCATAGCATAGTAAGGCATAAAAATGCCAAAAAAAAGTCTTAGTATACAATGGCAAAAAAGGTCAAAAGAACATCATATATTAACGCATAAAAGTGCATGAAAACGTCATAGTATGGCAAGTCACAAGACAAAATGATATAGTAAGTCATGAAAATGCCAGAGAACATCATAGTATAGTATGGCAAAAAAAATAAAAAAAAACATGATAGTATATTAATGCATTAAAGGTCTTCAAAATGGGATAGTATGGTGAGCCATCAAATGACATAGCATAGTAAGGCATAAAAATGCCAAAAAAAGTCTTAGCATACAATGGCATAGAAATACCTAAAAAAGGCATAAAAGGTCATGAAAACGTCATAGTATGGCAAGGAATGAGACGAAATTATAAAGTAAGGCATAAAAATGCCAAAAAACATCATAGTATAGCATGGCAAAAAAAATCAAACGTCATAGTATAGTATGGCATAAAAAGTCAAAAAATCATGATGGTATATTAAGGCATAAAAGGTCATGAAAACGTCATAGTATGGCAAGGAATGAGACGAAATTATAAAGTAAGGCATAAAAATGCCAAAAAGCATCATAGTATAGCATGGCAAAAAAAGTCAAACGTCATAGTATAGTATGGCATAAAAAGTCAAAAAATCATGATGGTATATTAAGGCATAAAAGGTCATGAAAACGTCATAGTATGGCAAGGAATGAGACGAAATTATAAAGTAAGGCATAAAAATGCCAAAAAGCATCATAGTATAGCATGGCAAAAAAAGTCAAACGTCATAGTATAGTATGGCATAAAAAGTCAAAAAATCATGATGGTATATTAAGGCATAAAAGGTCATGAAAACGTCATAGTATGGCAAGGAATGAGACGAAATTATAAAGTAAGGCATAAAAATGCCAAAAAGCATCATAGTATAGCATGGCAAAAAAAGTCAAACGTCATAGTATAGTATGGCATAAAAAGTCAAAAAATCATGATGGTATATTAAGGCATAAAAGGTCATGAAAACGTCATAGTATGGCAAGGAATGAGACGAAATTATAAAGTAAGGCATAAAAATGCCAAAAAGCATCATAGTATAGCATGGCAAAAAAAGTCAAACGTCATAGTATAGTATGGCATAAAAAGTCAAAAAATCATGATGGTATATTAAGGCATAAAAGGTCATGAAAACGTCATAGTATGGCAAGGAATGAGACGAAATTATAAAGTAAGGCATAAAAATGCCAAAAAGCATCATAGTATAGCATGGCAAAAAAAGTCAAACGTCATAGTATAGTATGGCATAAAAAGTCAAAAAATCATGATGGTATATTAAGGCATAAAAGGTCATGAAAACGTCATAGTATGGCAAGGAATGAGACGAAATTATAAAGTAAGGCATAAAAATGCCAAAAAGCATCATAGTATAGCATGGCAAAAAAAGTCAAACGTCATAGTATAGTATGGCATAAAAAGTCAAAAAATCATGATGGTATATTAAGGCATAAAAGGTCATGAAAACGTCATAGTATGGCAAGGAATGAGACGAAATTATAAAGTAAGGCATAAAAATGCCAAAAAGCATCATAGTATAGCATGGCAAAAAAAGTCAAACGTCATAGTATAGTATGGCATAAAAAGTCAAAAAATCATGATGGTATATTAAGGCATAAAAGGTCATGAAAACGTCATAGTATGGCAAGGAATGAGACGAAATTATAAAGTAAGGCATAAAAATGCCAAAAAGCATCATAGTATAGCATGGCAAAAAAAGTCAAACGTCATAGTATAGTATGGCATAAAAAGTCAAAAAATCATGATGGTATATTAAGGCATAAATGGTCATAATATCATCGTAGTATGGTGAGGCATCAAACGACATAGCATAGTAAGGCATAAAAATGCTAAAAAACATCATATTATAGTATGACAAAAAGTCAAAAAACGTCATAGTATAGTATGACATAAAAAGTCAAAAAAATCATGATGGTATATTAAGGCATAAATGGTCATAATATCATCGTAGTATAGTGAGGCATCAAACGACATAGCATAGTAAGGCATAAAAATGCTAAAAAACATCATAGTATAGTATGACATAAAAAGTCAAAAAAATCATGATGGTATATTAAGGCATAAATGGTCATAATATCATCGTAGTATGGTGAGGCATCAAACGACATAGCATAATGAGGCATGAAAATGCCAAAAAACATCATAGTATAGTATGGCAAAAAATGTCAAAAAACGTCATAGTATAGTATGGCATAAAAAGTCAAAAAAATCATGATGGTATATTAAGGCATAAATGGTCATAATATCATCGTAGTATGGTGAGGCATCAAACGACATAGCATAGTAAGGCATAAAAATGCCAAAAAACATCATAGTATAGTATGGCAAAAAAAGTCAAAAAACGTCATAGTATAGTATGGCATAAAAAGTCAAAAAATCATGATGGTACATTAAGGCATAAAAGGTCATAAAAACATCATAGTATAGTGAGGCATCAAACGACATAGCATAGTAAGGCATAAAAATGCCAAAAAACATCATAGTATAGTATGACATAAAAAGTCAAAAAACGTCATAGTATAGTATGGCATAAAAAGTCAAAAAATCATGATGGTATATTAAGGCATAAATGGTCATAATATCATCGTAGTATGGTGAGGCATCAAACGACATAGCATAGTAAGGCATGAAAATGCCAAAAAACATCATAGTATAGTATGGCAAAAAAAGTCAAAAAACGTCATAGTATAGTATGGCATAAAAAGTCAAAAAATCATGATGGTATATTAAGGCATAAAAGGTCATAAAAACATCATAGTATAGTGAGGCATCAAACGACATAGCATAGTAAGGCATAAAAATGCCAAAAAACATCATAGTATAGTATGACATAAAAAGTCAAAAAACGTCATAGTA